AGATTACCTGTGAATTGTATAGCTTTTTTTTTCCCATGCATTATACTGCATTTTCAACAAGAAACAAAATTACAAGTTGATATTATTGTTTGTGTCAGTTCCTTTGAAAAAAAGTAAAAATACCCAAGTTTTGAACAAAATTTGAATTTTGTATTTTGATTCATACTAACATACCATTTCCTGTGTCATTACACTGTGTATTGACCTGCATATTCTCATAGCATTAACACCTGGTGGTGAGGAGCTCCATTACCTGCGTGTTCATAGTATGAGAAGGAAGATGTGCAAGTGCTTTAAACAAACTGAAGATACAAGGGGATTGAGTTCTGTGGTTACACAAATGAATTCATGGCATTTACAGGAGAAGGAGCCTCAGAGCTTTCATTTCCTTCTGCAGGTTCTTTCTCTTTTTTACCACTATATTGTCCAATAAAGGAGCCATCCTCATTGAACTGACCGTTTACACCTTCTCCATAGTCAACTAAACTATCATCACTGTCTTCTTTTTTCACAGTTCTGTCTGAAGGTGTCCGGCTTCCTTTTTTTAGAGGTTTATGGTCCTCTGCATCACTGGAGACACAAACAAACAAACACGGAATTAATGGATCTATTATTTATTAAGACAAAATCAGCCATGCATGCTGAGTTTATGAAAAGCATATGTGCAGCCCAATAATCCTTTAGTAAACCCACATCACATTGTAAAGAAAAATCAATATGATGCAGTTCACATGAAAACATGGTGTAGGAATGGTTTAAACAGAGAATGTCTTCAGTGGAGGGAGGGGGGGTTGTGGTTTTTTTTTTTTTTGTCTCCCCATCGTGCATGACTTTTCAATGACAAGACCTGGATCCTTGGCTTGGAAGCCACTTAGATGGAACTGCAAGCACTAAAAAGTGGGTTGTAAAGTTATAAAAAAAATAATTTGTTTGTTCTCCAAAGTAGCAAGCTTATGATGTGCCATGAAGTTAGTCTGTTAAACTTCTTAATTTCTTTGATTCCTTGAACATCAATGGAGAATGAATTTGGTTAAATGAAATATACTGATTTTCTTTACTAGTATAAAGAAAATAAAAGTGCTGCATTTTGAAATAATTTGTTACATAATGCAGGCCAGACTTACAACTTTCAGCCTTACCTTTCAAGAGACCTACATATTCCATTAAAAGGGTGCAGAAGAAACAAATGAAAATAGCCTAAGAAGAAAAGCAAAGTCCATATCCTGATAGTGATCAGTATTTTATCAATAGTACGTTGCTCTTAAAATTGTTAAAATATTTACTGTATTACAGGTAAAGCAACAATTTAGCTTACAGTAGCTAGAATTGAGGAGTTGAGTGCATGCTTATTCTTTTTCATTTCTTATCAGATCTACCTCCCTACCCTACTCCATAACTGATAACATTCTGACAGTGATTTGGAGGACAACAGATAAAGGAAAGAAAGATAGGGAGAAGAGATTTCTGTAGCAAAGTAACATGGTCTTTCCTTGTCAATGGAAAAGCTGCAGCACCATCAGCATCCTCAAATAAATTTGCAGCTGTAGTAGGTTTGTATTTCATGAAACAGATGTAGTTGGGCTGTTTTCAGAATCCTTTACATTGCACTTCAGTTTCAAGATGAAGATTTCAGCAGCTCCAAAGCATTTTGAATTAAAAACCACTACTGCTAGTTGCACTTTTGGGTGCCATTATTTACCTTAATATCTTAAACAGAATATGTGACTTTATTTGCATATAGTGCACAAAAAAAAGTAAGTAGTTTGGGGTTTTTATTTAGACTCATAACTTATAGAAATATAAAGAAAAATGTATAAAATATCAAAGAAATGAAATTAAATTTTACAATTTCCAGAATATTTGATGCATATATATTCAACAAATTCTTTTAACCCTCTAATTCCTAAACCCCAATACCTTAGATCTTCAAATAAGCCGTTTTCTTTTTTTCCTAATTAATATCTTTGAACACCCAGAGAAACCACATATATATATATATATATATATATACATCTGCAGAAACCATATATATTTATATGGATGTAATATATATATTACATAGCATGTACAAGGTCACATAGATCATATTGTTGCCTAACAAAAGCCTTGTTGAGAAACTATTGCTAGAAAACCACTACACATATTTTCCATCAAGCTGCTTCTCCTTATGTCATTACCTTTTTTTGGCTTTGGAAGATCACGTTCTAAAAGAAGGATGTCTCTAATATGTATATACTTACAGAAAAAGCATTCCAGAGATTTTATCATTCTGTGTATACACCAAAAAAGAAGTGGTAGAAATATCTCTTTTATATACATGTAATGAAACCTTATGCTCAAAGCACACACAAAGGCAAGATGTCTGAACTTGACAGTATCAGGCTTGACTTTTTAGTTTTCCTTGTGTACAAGCCACAAGGAAAAATATTGTGTGATTGATCTTCCATGCTCACTGGTGCTGCAAACATACAAGCCAGCAACATCTAAACAACTGTACTCCAAAATATCAAGAATCCAGCAGCAAAGTGAAAATGTTTATAACACTTTAAACACAAACACATTACAGAGACATTACTGAAGAGAGTTCATTTAGGAAGGACCCTATATTTAAAAGGCTGGAAATGGAATTGAGTATTTAATACTCACACAAAAAATCGTTTCCCCATTGCCCTCATCAGAGGGGAGTTATTAAAACAGGCCAAACATGTCAAATGAAGACCAGACCCTCACTTTGAAATAGTAACCAGCCCTTCTCCCAAAGCAAATCTGCTTTCTGGGTAAGACTATTAAAGAAAAGACATTGACGTATGATTTGTTGTTTAATTTTAGGTCGATAACTTCATAATTATTACACCATAATAGAGAGGAATGAAAATAAATTAAAACTGCATTTGTACCATATTCCACGTTGTTATGAATCTCTGTGCAAATATTCTAAAGTATGACCCTATCCAGTGTGACCCCAGCCAGTGTAATTCACTAGGCTGAAATAGACATTAAATAAATAATACACCATTATTATATACACTGTATTAAAAGTACCCACACTTTTGTGTTTAATCCAATAAAAAGCTTGATTTTCCTTTATAATTTAGATAAATTTGAGTATAGGAACTTCTGCTTTGTGTTGCTCTTATGGTTTTCTTGTCTATATTTTTACAAACAAAGTTTATTTATAAGGCAAACAATGAAGAAATACTTACACAGTATTGTGTAAGTATTGTTTGCATTGTGTCTGTGATTTTTCTATATTTTAATAAGGATGCGGAATCTACTGTCTCTATAATTAAAAACAAACAAACCTGCAGATTTACCCAGGAGTGTATCTGCATAGAGGTGGGCACTGGTCAGAGAGCACGGTCACAGCAGATGCAAAAATCAAATGTGAACCTGGGGATTCCTTTCCCGTGTTGCACTACACAAGTCCAGAGCGAGGTTATGCCAAGACTCTGGCAGAAAACCAAGTGGAATTATCCAGGGTGCTTTCCACTCCATGTTCAGGAAAAGGAAACGTATGCCATGATACCATTTATTCTTTATCAAACTGGATTATGACTCCTGTATTAGATGAATACAATGTTTTGGGTGGAAAAGAAAGAAACTGAGGAAGAAAGAGGGAAAAAACCTAACAAACAGGAGAGGGAGAAAAATTGAAGACATCAATGTTTTGGACAGTAATTTTGTTACCCTGGGGATGCAAAACACAGAAGGGGCTCTGGTGCTCTGGAGAAATAAATGTATTACCTGTTTGCTGCTAAGAAACAAACTGCAAAAGCTGCTGAATTGCATTATGAATATGGGTGCCTACACAGCTATAGAACACTTTAGGCTGTAGAATATATAACATTATATTGCAAAAACATGTTAAAGCAATAAATTTTTATATGGTACCTGCAAGATTTGCCAATCTTGCTTACAGTTGTTCATAAAACTATTCCAAAATGCAATCAGGATAAAAAATAATTTCTTTTCGTTTCTGTTTGTGGTTTTTCTTGCTGATTTTTATACTTACCTAATGTAATATTGTGATATAAAAAATAAAGTGCAAATTGAGTTGACTAAAATTACAGTGGGAAACTGAAGAAGTTTTTGAAAAGAGTCATGTATGCAGTGCATACAATTAGTAGTGAGAAAACAAGACTGGAAGGGAACCAAACAAACAAGATGTGAGAATGGGTATGAATTCCATATTTAGATCAGACAGCCATGGAAGTTAAGTGTAGTGATACTTTTACTACTTTTTGTTGTATAAATAAATTCCATACTAGTAGCTTTTTAAGGATGAAAGTTTCTCAATGAAGACTCATATGTACCAATCATTTTGATAAGTACTGACATGTACAACATACACTTCTTGCCCTTTTAGTAAGAACAGTATTTAATATTAAAGCATACTCTAAAAGCATGACTTCAATATTATTCATGAATCATTGCTAATATATTGATGCCTTAAACCCCAATAGCTTTCTTATTTTTCTACCTTATAAGTTTTATAGGTAATAGAAGTAGATTTTAGAAGCAACCCCTTTCTCCCTCCTCCCCTAGCACCCCTTAGTTTATACATTCCTTAAGCCTCTTACCCCATTCCATACCCCCCATATCAACCCTATTCCCGTATCCAGTAGAAAATGTTTAGTCTCTTAGTCAAGGCAAGCCTGTCTTGTTTGGGGAACGCTTGTATCTAGGCCTAAACCGCAGGACAGAGTCAAGGAACTGGGTGACTCTGCTCTCTGTACCCCGAAGATGATGAAGGGAGGGTCCCAAAAGGACCCCAGACCCAATTCCGGGAGGTGGGCCAGGGGGTGGACCAGAGCAAAAGTCAGAGGATGGACACACTTGGGATTGGCCAGATATTGTTATAAATGTAACATCTCGGGCACAGCCCGGCGCGCGCTGTGTAAGATCTCTTGCCTTGGCACAATTAAATCCTTTCCTTATCTCACCCCAACTAACGGCTCCTGAATTTTTTCTAAGCACCAGCTGAGCAGGCATCAATATGAATACATGTTTCTTTTTCTTCTTAGTGTAATGAACAATATCAGACTTGCAGCTAATTGTTAAGAGAGATAAGAAGTACAAAGGTAACAATAATATAAGTGCAAAGTACAAATTTATTTTTTTAAAAAAGTACTTCCATTTCACAAGCTCATCAGTTATCGAGAGAAATATGTACCTTGAAATCTCCTTTCTTCTTTCAACTTTTCAATTTTTCTTCCTTAGATATGGGTACATGCAGCAACCAGTCAGAATGGGGAAGACAGTTTTACGATGCCTCTGCAGTCCAGCAGGCAACTAGTTCCCACTAAACTTTGCCACATTCATGGACATGCAAAAAGACTCAATATACAGTTAGCAATATACTACTTTTCCTTATAACATAACTGTCATATGAAAGGCAACATAAACCAAACAAAATGGGTAAAACATCCTGAGCTATGGGAGGCAGAAAGAGGATGCAGAAGATGAAAACTGTTGGCAGTAAATTCCTTCTTCTGTGCCCTCAGGTCAATAGTCCAGAAATGTTTCAGTATAAGCAGTCATGTAAAGCCACAGAAGTACCTTTCACTAGGGCTTCCCTGCACCCTCCAGGGCAATCTCTGCCCTAACACCTTACAGGTTTCTGCTCACACTTCTAACTTGTTAGGACTGTGCAGGTGACAAATGCTTGCCCTATACACTTATGCACATGTATCAATCCAGACATCAAACCATTTTACTATTTCTTATTTAGCTAAGACTTAAGCACATCTATATTAGTCTTCTGAGTAGTTTTTCTTTAACATCTCTGTAATACTCACTCTTCAATCCTGGTAGAAGCTGGAAAAACTGGGAGGTTAAGCTCTAGTTTAGATGGCAATGTGTTGAAAAAATTGTTGTTAGTCAAAGAACCTGACTTGCTCCTTGTGAAAATTTTAAAGAAAAATCTGCTTGAGAGAAATTTAAACAACTTTCCACCCTTTCTATTTCTGGTAGAAAATTATATGAAGGGAAATCAAGTACTGATTTAAAAAGCAATCACACAGATACTCAATAATTAAAATAAGAACTGTCAAAGAAAGCACATGTGTGTAATTTAGAACACAGCAAGACTAGTGCCAAATCCAATTGGACTATTAGGTTTTTCAGGCAGCCCGCTGAGATAATCTCTTGTGCTAGAAGGGACCAAGCTTAGAATTACAGTGCTGAGGCACAAATCATGGCTAGGTCCCTTTGGAAACACACCCAAGTTGCACTAAAACTTAAGTACAAGAGAAAAAAAATAGTTGCAGTTACAAACCATATTCTCATTGTAAATCAACCCAGAACATGAAGGAAGAGTAATACATTATCTAGCAATCTCAAAACTCTCTGCCAGAAAGTCTCTTGTAGCATCTCCAAGAATTTCTAGGAAAAATACTGTGCATGTCAAAATGTTGAAGAAAAGAGGCAAAATAATTCAACAAAATGTGCAAACATCCTTTGTTACCACACTAGCAGTCCTACTATTGGAGTTGCCTTGTCCTGTTTTGTCTTCCTAAGAACATTCTGCAGACTGCTGCAATTTTGTCCTCCCCTTGTAGTTAACTAAAAAATGCAAGCTTCCAGTCTCTCCCTACCTATAAACCCATAGGTCTGTAGCTGTTATAACTTCTTAATTTCTCTCAATTTAGGGACCAGGAGGGAAATTAGGCTGATGCATACACCTGAACAGGAGCTCTAGATAATCTTTTATTTTAATTTAAATAAATATACATCTGTCTTACTTATTCTGTTTCTTGCAGATGCTTGGTGTAAGAATTGACTGTCCACAATGTACTATCTCATTGCAGTTTGCTACAGAGGCACTGTTTTCCCTTATTATGTAAAAGTGAAGGAATCCAGTCACAGGACCATAGTGTACACAATCATTCCATGGTTCTTGAAACATCTGCATTTCCTAAACCATTATTTCCTTATTCAGTTTGATATGGCAGAAAAATCTGATGTTGGCTGCAGAAGGTATGCTCTTAGATGAAGTTGAGGAGTGCAAAACTGTGAACAAATCCAAGCCATTCCAAGACCACCATTCATGGAATGTGAAAAAACCTCCCCTAAAATTAAGAGCTGTCATTTCTCTAGAACGTATTAATTATTCATTAAGATCTAAGCAACTTAATAGTTTAAATTTTATTTTGAAACAACTAATTTTCTGAGGACTGGGCTTACTTGTCCAGAAATATTGAAACATTTCCATCTTTCACTCTTCTCAGTTCCTGAGAAAGAAGGAAGCATGTCTATGTTCTTAGAAAGTTCCTCTTGATGGTCTGGTGTCTCTCTGAGAGTGAGATGTCTTTTTGTACTTGGCGTGGAATGACTGTGAGATTTTATACTTTCCCTTCCCTCCTTTGAACTTTGAAGGAGAACGCAAGGAGCTCAGACACTTGTGAGGATAAGAAAAGGAACAGCTTCCAACAGAGCTCTTTTTTTTCATCTGATGCAAGGAGTATTTGTGTTCTGAGAAATCCTTCATGATCTGGACTAAGGATTCACCAAATAGCTTGCCCCCTGTGTATGGCAAAGACAGCAGTTTACATTTTAGATCTAGCAATGAGGTCCAAGGACGCAGCCATATAGCTCTCCAGGCTACAGTGAGGCATGCCATATTTTTAACAGTGAGTCTAAGAGAATCCTCAGCTGCATCATGGATAAAATTAGCTGCAATTTTACATAGCCTGCGTTTCCTCTGCATGGTAGCAGATGGGAACCGTTTCTTTTTGAATCTGGCTCGTTCTTCCTCCAACCATATAAGTAAAGCCTTAGAAGCATAAGTGCAGTAGATAGATACTCCAAGCTGAGCTGCAACTAGCTTGAAAGATCTTTTAATTGCTTCCTCAATCTTTTTGTCAGTAGGATCTTTAGGGAGTGCATCTCTATTATCAGGCACTGACAGTACAGAATCACCAGTAACCAATGCTCTGTCTACCTCAGGCAAGGTCCCCCACAAAGCAGCTTTATCCCCTGGAAAAGGATAGAGTTTATGAAGTACTGCTGGGGCTTCATGCTTGGCCTCAGGATTACCCCAAATCCTGCAGACAAGATCTTCCACAGCTGAATGGATAGGAAGTGCATTATCTACCTTGCCTTCTTCAGAGGGGATAAGCAGTTCTTCTGAAGCACACTCAGATTTGGAAGATTTTAGCATTAACACCCTCTTTATGTGTTTGAACAGATAATTCTGATTCTCCATGTCAAATTTACGCAGAGGATCTGGTCCTTCTTTATCTTCTGTAGGGGACTCAGATGCCACCTCCCCATCTTCAGGGGTTGACTCAAACTCCAAGAAGGCCTCGTCAGGCTCAGGTTTCTCCTTCCCAAAAGCTGTTTGATCTTTTAAGCTGTCCATATGGTCAGACTCAAAAGTCTGGGAACTGCTCCCAGATGCTTCTAAAGGAGCCACTGGAACTTCTGTAATTGGTATCCTGGGATGCTTTACTGAATGGGACCTAACCTGTGCCACAGATGTTATACTTTGTCTGGCTGCTGTCAAAGCATCCTTTAAGACAGTAGCTAGCTCAGGCACAATTACAGATTTCATTAGTGAATTCTTTTCAGATTCAGAGAAGTGAGGAGCAGTAGAAGGTCTTACCTTCTCGTGGCAGGAGCTCTCAGTGTCTTCTGAATCTGAGCTGCAGTCTGGGGTCTGGCTGCACCAGTGCTGGAGAGAAGAATGCTGCCTTGCCAGTGAGCCACCAACTGAGTTGCAGCTGAGGGGTTGCTGGAAAGGGGATGGCTGTCCTGCCTGAGAATCTGAGCCCTTCTCCGACCCCATTATCACTTGCTCAGAAGCATGATGTCTAGAGCCATGCCTGTACTTCCATTCGTCTGACCTCTTTTCCTCTCGGCAGAGAGAAGCAGAGACACAACTAACCCTTGTCAGCTCTGAAGACTGCCTAGCCCTCCTCCTGGTGTAGGAGGTCTCTGATCTGGTGCTGGAGTATTGATCCCCTGACCTTCTGAAGAAGTTGGATCTGTCAGATCTCACAGACTTTGCTTTGGTACAGACAGGGTCTGCTTCAGAAGAATTGGCACAGCTACCTTTTCTTTTCTTTTCCTTGTCCAGTTGCTTTCCTGTCCAAGCAGACATGGACCTGAAGTGATGAAAAAAGTTCAAAATACTCGAATTCCTAGATCTTTCAAAAATTACATTTTTTTTCAAGAGAAACCCTATACCCTTTGTCCTTAAAGAAGCACTGCATCATGTGAGGCAGACAAACTGGGAACTGAGTGACTGCAGTGATGCTGGGCTGCAGAGAGGGTGGCAAGATATCTTCTGTAATCTGACTGGTTGCTGCTGCTGCCCTGTCTCTAAGGAAAAAACAGGAAAGCCCAATATAGACTAATTACACATAAATACATTTTAGAAGGAGTTTTTGCATGGTACATAGGACAAGCTGTTTTATGTTAACAAGTCTGAAAGCTTGGCATGCTTGGCTACCCATATTCACCAGACATGAGGTGGATAAATGCATTATAAAATAATTTATAAAGCTCTAGATGATTCTATAGATTAACTCAAGCCACTTAAATATGGAGGCATAAATTCAAATCTTGCTACAGATCCCACAAAGACTTCCATACTTATTCCAGGCCTGAGAAAAGATGTATTGAGGTCATATCATTTGTACAATTCTGTACAAAGGTCAATTTCTGCTGCTGGAAGTTCCAAGTATCAAAAACCAGTGGAGCAACAAAGGAGAATGAAAACTGGAATGCCCAGGAAAACTTAGATAGTACTTATTTACCTCTGCTTCCAAACATTGCTTCACACTTCTCTTTTTATCAGCTGAATTTAACTAATTCTTAGGTACTAATGTACTGTAATAAAATACTATTCTGAACTCATTAATGTAAGAACAGAGTATTGTATTTTTTTAATCAAGGGAAAATAAACAGAAACTGCTCTTTGGCATTCAGAACTGTACATCTATTCCTGTTAGATCAAGATGTACATTTCCCTTCTATGAAGAAGCTATGGCAACAGTGTAGATCCTTCTTGAAAAAAACCCCTTTTTTTTTAAATGTACATTTGTAAATGTCAAATCTTAAAAATAATAAAGGGCTTCTATAATGCTTATGACACAGAAATGCACTACAAAATCTATTATATCACCCATGTAGAAGATAATGATATTGACCTATTTAGAAAATAATAACATTATTTACTGCACTAATCAAAAAACAACAAATAAAATGCTGCTTATTAAATAAGCTATACTTATAATCGCTATATGAACAGACTTGCCCAGCATGCTTTTGGTAATGCCAGGAGATTTGGCTAGATTGCATTTACAATAAAGGAAGAGAATCAGGAATAGGAGCTGTGTTGCATGCTTTGAAGCTGCTTGCTATGTATCTTGTACTGAAAAACTGAAAGGGAGATTTGTTTTTTCTTGTAGGACATGACTTCACCTCTGTGTATAACATCACTTCATTGTTATTGGATTAGATGTTAGTACTAGCACCCATTTTAAATGTTTGTTTTCAAGTCAACTTAACAGCAGATTGTCTCTACTAGGCTTTAACTGGAAATTTATTTTCAAAAAACCATAATGCTAAATGTGCCCTAACGGAAAGGACACTGTATCTATTTGAACTATCTGAAAGCTGGCTTTGTAAATAAAGATTCCACACTTTGAGACAATTGTGTTTGAATCTGGATTTCACCCTGCACTAGCAGATGGCTTATACTAAGCTTGGATAATTTTTTTTTCTAATTCTGCGGTTGAAATGCTACCTATAGTTCTATATAACACTGGATACAGAATCTTTGACACAGAAAAAAAAGTTAGTTTTGAATTAATAAGTGTGATACTATATACAGCACATGTGTGACATAACAGTGAACATGACAAATCACATCAGTTGCTCACCTGTATTCACCAAATGTTCCATCATCTTCTTTCATAGGTTGTATTTCTGGATCAGCATGTGCATCCTCCTTTTCCTTCACTAAAATATTTGAAATGGTAATTTTTATCATGGAACTGCAAGATGAGAAACCCTAAGTCCTTAATTTCTCAAATTGATCACATTTGGCAGGAACGTGGTTTGAATAATTTTTTTAAATAGGGTCTTAGGGTGTTACATTTTTTCTCTTGAAGAAAAAGATCTGTTAATTAGTTATAGAATTTTATTTTCATTCAAGTATAAAATACTGTATGTCATTTTGCATTAGTAGAACATTTTCTTCCTTTCATTTCTAGCACTAAAGTTTTGTTAAAAATCCTACTAAAATAATTTATTTACTTATATTATTATTAGAGCTATTGTTTATTGATATCTGAATAATTTAGTTTTACTTAACCATGATCTGTGTTTCCTCTTGATATTTGTCTCATACTGATTGATAAAACTGAATCAGATTCACTTGGGTTCACTGTCAGTTTCTACATTTTCTGCTTTCATTGCACACAATAAGACTCCAGGGAATTTTAAACAGTATTTTGAGAGTTATTAATATTGGAAAAAAATAGGCATGGTCTGTTAATTTCTTCTTTTCTATAACATGATCAAAAGTAAAGCAAAATCACCTACGCTGGAACCTAAATTTAACACTATTGTATCTCTTGCAAATCCTTGGTTTATGTTTAGTCATCGTTCCCTAGTGAGAATAAATCCAGGCATATAACTTGTCCCTGTACAAAAATACATGTAGCACAGAAACTTTGACAGAGAAACCCACTAGCACCTGAGGAGTCAGATGTTTACAGATGACACATATTCATCTAAATAATGATTGTTCATGGAGTAAAATAATATACTGACTTGAAGCATTATCTTCATGGTTCTTCCCTCTGCCTTTTCATTTCTGTTTCTCTGGCAACTATTCAAATCTTTCCCTTGTTTAGCAGATACAGTTATATAACCCAATATACAATATATTATCTTTTAATCTGGTAATTTCCACACTTAATTTTTACATCATTAATTTATATGCTGTTATTTAAGAGGATATGAATCACTCCTGATAGTATTTACTAAGTATATAATTGCAGTGAGGCATAACACCTGGGGATGTATCTGGCTGCTGTAATTTCACACTGAAGTAATTGATTGCTTTCTACAGACCATAGGAAATATCAAGATGACATGCTAAAATTATGATGAAAAAGAGTTCATAACTTTGATTTTCATAGATTTTCATAACTGTGCTTCCCATTTGTCACTACAAAACAGTACATTTGCAATGAGACAAGAAATAAAATTAGCTATATAGTCACCACTATAAACACCAGTAATTACTGAATGTGGAAATCTTATAAACATTCAAGGTCTACCTTTATATATGTGTGTGTATATGCATATGTAGCTGTGCATAAAAATATTAATACCTTACAGCTAATAATTCTGCAGAAGCTGAGAAAAGAATGGCATATCAGGGATCCACAAAGTAATGCCAGCCTTAGCATCCAACTGCCTTCTATGTTTTTACTCAAAAACTCTGTTTTGCCCTATTCTTGATGGTGGCTCATTTCAAGTCTTCCCTACTCTTTTTAGATCCATCACTTTCCTTGTTTCAATCTTAAAACTTTCATTTTCTTTTCTCAGTTCTCTCCACTGAGAGTCACTTTTCCTATATCCTCAATAATCTCATTTTCTTTTTAAATAATCCAAATATAAGGAAAAAAACCTAAGATGATGTCTTCAACCTGTCATATAACTTTACATAACACTGGTCCTTAATAATCTGTCTTTTCTTCATGGGCATAGGCAGTTGGAACAGAAGCTTCTCTTGCTCAATTCTTGCTGTTACTACAAATCTTTGCTCTCTCTATAAAACAATTTAACAGTTAGATTGGGCAGAGTAGGATTCTTGTATTTAATGAGGTGATTTTCTTATAAAAATAATCTGCTATGCTATGTTCAGCTATAAAAGATTCCCCTATGAAGAGGCAAAGTTCTTAGTGTTCACTGACACTAGTTTTCAGAAGTGCACTGGTCAAAACAAGCAAGAGAAATTAAAACAAAGTATGGATTTTTTTTTTTGCACTTTTGTAAGTGCATCCTGCTTTTTCATGCCAAAATTAACAGTATCAGCTTCAAGAAGTTTGAGGTGACTTCAGATAAGCATTCTAGAGTCTGAATATTTATATAATTTCCAAACCTTTGGAGTCTGTAATATAAAACAGAATTTTTTCAAAGTCAAGATTTTACATGAAACTTAGCAATTGTACTTTCTACTGGAGCTAGGAGAGGAAAATGAAAAATCAAATTCTCATTTGATGCTTTAAGAATTGATACAAACACAGATAAACCCAGATAACCAAATTACGGCTAGGGTATTAAGGAAAAGTTTATTCCAAAGGTGTAAACCCTAAATACACGGCTAAATCAAGCAATGGGCAAAAGAGCAGCCCAGAAAATCCATTCCAGTGCTTTTATATAAACAGCTTTTGCATGCTCGTAACTTCAAGGCCGTGTTCCCCCGGTGCTTTATGATCTCCCTCTCTCCCAGCAGGGGCTTCAAGCATGTTTGTGAGAACTTTTGCCTCTTCTTGCAACCAGAGAGTTAACTTCTCAAACCAGACAGCCAGAAAAATAGGGAAAGAGTTTTATGGGAAGGAGTTTTTTCCCACACTGGGTTTTTCCCAGACCTAGTTTTCCCAGCAGTTAAAACCTCCTTGAGCAGAACTCTTTTTTCTTCTCAAATAAATCTTCCGCATTTAACTTTCTGTCCCTAGATGCTCACCTGAAGTTTGTTCATAGACACTCATCCCTCAACAGCTGCTCTGAGATCCTCTCTGATAATACTATGCAAATCGGTTCCCACTATCCTTTTCAAGAGAGCTTTAGTCTATGGACCTACTACATAAACAGAAATGTAAGATCGGAGAAAGATATGTACGATACATATACGCACGAATACATACATACACGTATATGCCTTCTCTAATATGTACACCAGGAGGAATGAGAGTTTTGATAGGAGACATACATTGTATACTTTCAATTTTTAATTAAAAGTTATAAAATCTACTTGGCCATTCATAGACCCAATACTAAAAAAAAAACCCTCCCCTTCTTATAAAGAAAAAATTTATAGAAGAAAAAACAGCCTTACTGAAGGACGGTAACTTCACACTTAGCTGCAAAAATGCAGAGGTTGAAGACAATACAGATTCTGGGAAGGAATTGAAGGCATTTTGTATTTGAGACAAAATAACATATGAAGAGATTTGTCCTATGAAATACATTCCCTGTACTTTAAAGTAATGCACTGGCTGTGATCAGGTGTATGTTTCCACACTTTCTGACCAAATAAATAAATTGCAACTCAGCTCATTTTAGTGGATTGAACCCATCTGGACTATACTTCTGAAAGTGGAATATGCAGGAGTGGTGGTATTTCAAACCTCTAGAGAGGTCATGCAGTAATATGACTCTCCAGGACTGAAGGAGGTACTTCTCTTATGCTTAAAGAGATTGAGGTTTTCTACCATTATGCAGATTGCTCCTGCCAAGCCCACCACATGACGACTGATTTGCCATATACACAGTGTAAATGTAACCCCGCAGCAAACGTAATTTTTCAGTAAACCTGAAATCTGTCTTAATGGGTTACCAACAGATGAATTTTAATGTCATTGTTAAACAGCATACCTGGATATTTGCCACCCTTATTCCTCCTTATGAAGCAAACAATCAGTAAAATCAAGATCAGAAGAGCAACAGCACACATAAGACCAATGAACCATCCTTGAGTAGCGATATCTACCTGCCGGCTCGCCATTGCTGGAGGATAAAAGAAGAAAAATTAGATGTTTTGCTGCATTTAAATGCTATGCTAATTCAGATAAATATAAGCCAGTATACATTGTTCATTAGGGAATAGCATTCACTGTGAAAAAAAAAAGTATTAAGAAAGACAGTGAGTATTATGTATTTTTTTTACTCAAAAAGTTTCCAAGTACATAGAACTTTTGAGTATATAAGAATTCTGCCAACATTTAAGCTTAGCAACTACTTTGTGAAATCTGCACACACACTACATTGCTTTCCACAAACCTCAAAACTATTCTGAGCCATTTTACATGAATTAAACTACTGAAATGAAATAGCAAATTATAATTCACACAAACATGTCAATTGCATTCTCAAAATGAATAAAAAGTCAATAGTCATTAGCTAAGGCATTTCCATCAGTGTGAAATGGGGAAACAGATGGGTCATTCAAGGCCATAACATTCAATTTCAAATAAAAATTAAAAATGAAGCATCCTTTAAAACCTTATTAAACATTATGTTTTCTGCCTTTCCTCAAACCTCATCCTACTCTTCCTACATCCTATCATGACTGCCATGATTTAGGTTTAGTGATGCAATCGGAAAGCCTTTCCTTGGCACTGTTTCTCTCCAAATGCTGAGTCTAGATGGAAGATAATGTAAATGACAAGCAAACTGCACAGGAAACACTACAGTCACTAATAAGATCTGTGTGGTTTTGGGGTTGGATCTCTCCTACTGGTCTCAAACACTGTAGGAGGATTTTTCTGGTAAAGCTGATTTTCTACTCTGCTTTTCGGAGACTCGCCACAGGCAACTGGACTTAGGATTTGCTGTCCCGAGAAAGTGCGAAGGGTGAGAGGTGTTTGGGGTGCTACAGAGAGAGGAAGATATGAAGTGGAGGAAGATGGGCATCCATTCAAACCTACTGTGTTCATTCTTCACTTTCTTCTCTAGTCCTAAACCCCGAGTACGAAACTCTATGAAGCGTTTCCCAATAGACAGAGTTCAAGCCCATGTCTCAGTGTTATTTCCTAGTTAAGAGAGAGGCTGAGACAGCTAGCTTGGAAAAGCAGCTTTCAATGGGCCCACATTCCTAAGGGTTTTCCAGGGACTCTATTGAAACTCAAAGTATTTCTGATGTCTGGATATAGTATCTCCTATCCATTCCATACAGAAGACCAATTGTGGAGATATGATCAGGAGTCTTCTCAGCCCTTGTTTAAGAATATATTTTCTGATATTTTAGAAACTCTTTTTTTAAATGCACAATAATTTAAACTATTTTTGCATGAAACTCTCTACAGGTTATATAAATATATCCCTTATATACACATATATTTATACTTTATATACCACATATAAATATATATAAAATATATGTGGCAATTTTAAAAAACAAAATCACAAAGGCTATCTTCCTCTGAACTATAAATCAAAATAAGATAAAACTTTGTTATCACATTAGTGTTAAAATTATTTGTGGTTTTGCATATATGCATTCATAATAAGGCATTAAAGGTTGTGTAATACATACTGCAACAAAATGCAAAAGCACAATTCACATTCAAATGTAGTAAGAAATATCATCAAGACAAACAATTCACGCATAAAAATATGCAAGATAGATGGGAAAGAATAAAGATGAAAACTTATTTATGCAGATTTCTGTATTAACTTATTGCATATCCAGTAGGAAAGGGTTTCTAGATCTCTGTGCAACTTTTGAAATGGCACAACAATTCCTGTTTATGCTAAGCAAATTATCTGCTTCAGGTAGAAAAACTTTGACTGTTGAACCACTAATGCAGGAGTCAATGCAGTACTCTGGACTGGGAATGCCCAAAAAGATAAATCTGTGCACTGGGAAAATGCTCTATAGGAATGCTTGTCAAAGAAAAAAATGTGGCAAAAGCCTCACATTTGAAACGTTGTAGTTTCATTTCTATTAAGAATATATTCCGTATTCCAGTACTTTCCTCTTTGTCCACTCCATTTTTGCAGTGTTTAAAAGCTTTGACTTAGGCTGGAGACTGTGACACAAAATTTTTCTGTAAGAAATAGATTATGTATATAATTTCATGCTGGATATTGAAACTTTCCATTAGCAAGAAGCAGAAGAGAGTGTGTTTAAATTCACTTTTTCCTTAACTATTCAAGGGCCTGAGTCAACATGACTAGGTAAGTACAGGATTCCTTGTCTATTGGCTCAGTATTTTTTATGCAGAAAGATGCTTTTGGGAAGGTTTCCATTCAGCTTGTTTTGGATTATATTATAGTCTTGATCCTTGCTTACTGCTGCTTTAGGCTTTGGATGTGTATTTGCATACAATTTTACAGATATGCTTTTGTAGCACTAGCTGTTTTTGGCTCTGCTTTTAGCTTGTACATATTTGCTTGGCACTGTTATTCAGCACCATGTTTTCAAAGCTTTTCTGCAACATGATAAACTGTGAACAGAAATGGAACAAAACAAACCAACAAAATGATGATTTTAGAAAGTGCTCACTTTCAAACTGGCATATCCATTACGTATTTTGTTGCCTGATAATCATTACATAATGTTCACACATATTTTCATATTTAAATTACTTTGTTATAATGTTCTGGAGTTGGTGAGACTACTGCTATATAACTATGCAGAGACCTAAATGTCTGGAATGAGCAGAAGTGGCTAGCAAAGACCCAAATAATAGTAACAGCTGAACCAAGAACATGCTGTGATGGCAACAACGTATTTAGCATAACATCAAAAAACTTCCAAAAAAGCCCTTTCTCTGAGTGAAATGGACAACCATTGTTGATTTGCTTATGAAGAAATAGGACTGCAATATGTACATAAGGAACTTAAACAGACTTACTGATTCCTAGGATATAGATGTGGCATCAAAATCTATATAGAACCAGTATATGGCAGGAAAAGAAACATTTACAAGTAGGAATGTCTTAACACTGGTATAAATAGATCACATGAGACATCAAAATGAATCTGCACTGATTATGCAGATATTTTAGCTCTATTAAACGAGACGTTACTTAAATACAGCCATCTAATTATATTAATTAGAAATATAAAAAGTAGGTCATCTCCAATGCACAGCGCACAGATGAATTGTGAGCAGTGCATATCTTGCCTCTAAGTATAAACATCAGTCAAGCAGAGTGAATTGAAAGGATGGACACATTCATAATCTGGCATTATTTAGGAGTTTATAAAATAACTTAACATTGCTCTATGAAAGGAACATGCAAAGATGCCATCTACAACATCTCTTAGCTAGAAGCAGTTCAGCATTTCAGCACCTGGTCTATCAAAATTCTGACTATGATACAGAATTGGTACGGTGTGCCTCACCTGGACCTGTCTCAAACACATCCTCTGAACTCCTAAAACCAGACAGGCCCTCAGCACCAACCCGGACTTTATATGCTGTTCCTGGTGTTAAACCCTTTAAGACAAAGAAGCTTCGAGAACCATTTACAATTTCCTTTTTCCAATCTTCTTTGCCTACAAAAATTTTAGGAAAACAACATATTGGAATTTTAATTTTCTCTGTATTACTGAAAGTTTCTAGACAGAATACTATTGACAGTTACTTGACTAAACTATGGATCATCTGAGAAAAATAACTGTTCTCTCAAAAATAATAAAATTATATAAAATTATGACTAATAGATTGCATGCAATATATTGAAGAAGACATTGTACAGTAATTATGAAACTATTTTAAACATTTGTTCCATTGTACTAGAGAAATACTAAGTTAATTTATTTTTAAATGCTTATTGAACTTATAATTATTAAATACATTAAAATAGATTTCATCATGGCTAGGTTTCGCGAACGAAGATTTGGGAAGGGCTCTACCCACGTTTCTTGCAAGCGCGTTGGTGGCTAAAAAGGCCAATACGAGAAAGGCAAGTCCGGTTGCAAAAGACACAGCAGAAAGACTCCTTAGATGGTATATTCTGCAAGGCTCGATTCTTTCTGCGTTGTCTTTTCTCCTCAAGAGTGATCCTGCGTGCTTTCTCAAAAGCATCAGCAGTGTTATAAATGGTCTGTCTCCAGGCCTCCCGATTAGAGGCCAGAGTAGACCAGTTATGGTGATCAAATACATTAAAATAGATTTAATCTCTAATTAAATAACACTTTTGCCGTTTCAGTCAATATTTACTTTGGTCAAGAAATTCTATTTCAAAATCTGAATCTGTTTCTCTCATATCTTTTTTCTATTACAGTCTCATCTACTTCTCTGACTGATATCCAGAAAAATGCATTTATATCCCAGTTTTCAGATTATTCACCTTTACTGATAACTTTAGAAGGGTGGAGTATTTGAAAAGAAGTATCTTGCTTTTATTAGATAATTGTGTTTTAATTATTACTGGTATTATCAAAGACATAAACTTGGTTTTATGCCAAAAAAGTACATAAGTTGGTTGATATCTTATTTTAAGTTCTAATTTAACAAAGAATATTTTTTTAATTCTTTTTTTTTCCTGAATTGGGCATAATTTAGGAAAACTGTTATGTCCTATTTTAATGGAGGTACTACTGTACCTGTAATGTAATACATTTACTCATGTAATCACTGCATGATAAACAACCGAATGCAAAGTACATTTTTAGAAGTTCACATTCCAAAGAATTTATAAAATAATACAAAGGAACAAAGGTTCATATTCTATCTAAGCATCAAACACCTGCTACACATTGATGTTTATTAAAATGAAAATTATTTGATCTTCTCGATCAAATTTAAAAAATCATTTTTCTAGACATTTAAGAGCTATCATTAATGCTGGGTCAATTTAAGACCACATTTACTATAAAGATCTTTGAAAAGACATCTGAACACTTCAGTAAATTTAATGGAACGACTTCTTACTGCCTGCTACACCATATTCAACATAAAAGTTCGCATGATCTGGTCCCTCATACTCCCAACTGATATTGGCATAGGTCTCAGCGGCAGCTGTTGTAACATTTCTGATCCTTGGATAAAGTGGTTGAACTGAATACACAATAGAAAAACAAAGAATATGCAATTGTGACTTCATACATTTAAAAAATATTCAAAGAAGTTGCTATGTTACTTTAGACTACATACAGGGGAAGTATACATTTGTCATTGTTTCCATTACTGGAAATTAGTGACTGCAGTAGTGTATTTTGCAATTGAATCCCAGGCAATTACTACACTATGAAATTATAAAGTAAAATTCATGTACTCTACTGAGCACATCTTGTAGCACAAAAAATACCTGCTTAAATACTTCAAAAACTGCCAACATTCTGCAAAACATTATTTCTATCCATCTGGAAGTAAAATGCAGACAGCTGTAAAGCGAGAACATTGTCAGGGTAATGGGAAATGGTAGGACAGAAGGGAGGTATGAAGGTTGTACACTTCTCCCTTTATGGCACATGGCATCGAATGGACTGCAAATGCCCCAACTGCAAATGCCCCAACTGCAAGCCTTTATAGGATTTTGTCTCTGTTGCATTGATAATGATAAAAAAGGAAGACAATACCCTTATAGAATGTTGGACGGACAGTGTGCATGACTGGGGAGGTTGCAAAAAGGATTTCTGAGTATCCTTCACCATCAGAGATAGAAGGGAAGAAAAAATAAAGAGTAAAAACACTTTACATCAAAATGTAACATTTAAATAATACCGTAAAACCTTACCTGTAAAATAAATAATACATGCACACTCTAAGATCATGCAAGATTCAATTAGTTTTGCTTGTTAAATATAGAACAGCTCAATGATACACATGTATTTGAAAACAAACTGAAGTATGCGTGTATTGACAGCTTTACTCTCACAGGACATTTCCGAAATCAGCTTTGTTAACATTGTGGATTCATGGCACCTTTAGACGCTGGAACACTAGACATCAGATATTGGAAAGCCAATATCAAAATACTCTGGTGTGAAGGACACAAATCACTGGAATGCAAGAAGCTGCTCATTGTAAGGTACTGTGTCTTACTGCTGACATTCTGGTTAGACAACAGCACTTTTCACAGATATGCATAATGCCCACATCTGTGAAAAGAAGAGCTTTTCTCTTCAGCATTCTGTAATTCACCACTTCTTTGCTCATATCTTAGTTCTTTGCTCATACCTTAGCTCCACTTACGCTTGTTACAAATTGACATATATCTCAGTATCTCTGCTTGCCTAATATTAATGAAAAAATAGATTTTAATAGTTCTAATGATGTAATAGAGCAGATACAAAGAGGATGCTCCACTAAGGCATGAAATTTGTTTTAAATGAAAATGCCTTACTTGGTTTGTCACTGACTTTTCTATCCTGCTAAAAATATCTTTTCTGTTAGAAATAACATTAAAAATGCTTCCCAAAGGACCATGAAACATCAGAGGTAAAAACTTAGTCTCAGTAAAGATCAATGGCAGAATTCCAATGGTTTCAGCTACACAAGAAGAGGGTTGCACAGAATTTATCTATAAATTATTTTCTCCTTCAAACAGGATGGTTTTGTCCATATGGCCAACTGGAAGAAGTTTCAAGTTATATTCAAAGAGAAAATGGCTTACTTTGGCCCCTAGCACAGACTAAGTAATGCGAGTGCCATGTCTAGAAAACTATAGTTTTTGCGTCTTTTTTTTTAATAAATTATGCAAATTCCATCAATTTTCCTGAGAATGTATTCTGATTATCACACGTTCTTACAATATGAGATTTTTTATCCCCATATTTGCATCAAATTTTTCTTCTTAACTCTATTCCAGTAGTACTCATTCAACAATTCAATCAGTTGTTGATTACTACCCCATCTGATGTCTCTGTAGGTAAGTTGTGCTTATATATAATTTCTTTCATGAACCAAAATAATAAGGAATCTATTATTTAAATAATAAAGAATATAATTATTTATTGGCTAAAATCAGCTGAACAAAATAAAATAGAAATCACTAGATTAAAAAGAAAAAAGCTATCTAGGTTACTAAGACACCAACCCGAAGAAATACCAAAGCCAGAGCTGTCTACAGGAAATCTAGCATGTAACCATATACACTATGCAAGGGGATTAGATTCTGTTTCTCTGTGCCACTTGAAGGCAGCAAGAGGAAAGAACAGCCATCTCTAAATTTAGGAGAGTGCAGAGTCTGAGATTGCAGACAGGATATATAAACTTCCTTCTTGATTTGCACATAGGAACAGGTGTTTGTAACAATCAGCATCTAAGCATTTTTACTGTGCCAAGAAAACAACTGGCTTGTATTCTAAATATGACTTTGTTTTGTTTCATTAAATTGTATTTTCTCAAAGCCATATTCTCCTGGATTTTGGTCTTCCACAGAAGATGTCTAATTAGCATAACTATATGACTGATATCTGTCACCAATGTTAAAGACAGAACAAAATGTTAGCAATAATCTGTTTCATACTCCTGCACACAGATGCCACAACATTATCCCTAACTTCTCCCTTCTCATGCCTGAGCACCTTTGGGATGAAGGAAATTGTCTCATCTTGTGTGAAAGACTCCAGATGACAGAGAGCTTCTGTAACACTAAGGAAATTCAATAATCACTCAGTCTTATCTTATGGGGTTTTTTTCCATGTCCAGTTTCCAGTCTCTACTCTGACTGAAGAGTTGCTTGCTAGATTAAAGTATCTGGTAAAATTCTTTCTGTTCATATGATTCCGTGTAACAATCAAGTTGGCTCTGAAAGTTACCTTCATTTCCTTGGTGTCTTAGTTTCTAAATCCTCTTAAGTGACTGATTTATGCTTATATTTATCAGATGTACTCTTATCAGATTTTTACCAACAGCTGTTCGTATAGATTTATGTATGTGTAGTATTTGGTCAGATTTAAATTCTGTTGTTTTCTCCCTTTGAATACAGTGCACCAAGAAATTTTTTCAGTAGCACATTTCTTTTCAAAAATATTATTTTTGTAATTCTCCTCTTTTGCACTATTGCTTGATCTCATTTACCATCAGGCCCGCAAAGTTTTACATGACTACACACATAATTAGATAAAAGATGGCTGATGGATCCTCAGGTGATGAAAGCCTAGAGCTGAAGTGGTTACAACATTTAAAGCGTGTCTCTAATCCACCCAGACTTGTCTTTTCAATCACCACACCTCTAATTATAATTAACCTCTGAGTTCTTCAATATGTTTCCCAGTACCGTTCACATATGCAAAATGTGTCATTATCAGTTGGCAGCAACTCTCAGCGTGTCTGAGTGCCAGTTGGTGACAAGGGGAGGAGGGGAGGAAGCTTTGTTTCAGGGAATGGCCATGCACCATGTACCACACTGTGCAGCAGTGCTGGCAAAAGCATCACTCTAAAAACTAAGGGAATGGGCTGCCAATAAGTTACAGTTTTTATACAGAATGACTCTTATTTGGCTACCTCTGGCAAATTAAGTTTTTTTTATTCCCACCTCAATACACTGCAAAATTTAGTCAGCGCTGCTGAGTATGGTTTCATTCCTGTAGTGAGATATAGTATAGAAGCATTTGCCAATTGTTGAGAAAGAGGCCTAAGCTCCAACTAAAATTTCCCTTTCTTTTCAAATTAATTCCAGTGCTTTTTTACTGGAGTTTTCTGTAGAGTTTTGTTTAATTTTTCAGTCTTTCAGCAACACAGTTCCTACAAATAACAGTTAGACTTGGGCTGCAGAAACAGAATTTAATAAGACAGGACATGAGATATGAAGGTATTTTAACAATGGAATAGGTACTCTTTCTCAAGATTTAGTCCAGAAGAACAACAAATCAAATAATCCCCAAGGTAACTAACTTTAGGAATTTTCATGGAATTCACCTGATATCCAAAAAAAAATTAGGTAAGTGACAAGCAAAAATTTGAAGACTGGTGTCAAATGGAAAAGAACCCGCAAACCAATATAACATCGACAATTAGTTAAAATGCATACATAAAGCGAAAAATAAATTTAAAGGAAAAAACTCACACCCACACACAAGAAAAGATGGAGAAAAAAGGTAGTAGATTCTGCCAGAGCCTGTCAGAAAGGGGTTTTGGTATTGTTTGCTTTTTTAACCTATAACATTCAAGCTTTAGAATAATGGTAGGAGTGAATTTCATTTCTGGCAGTGAGAGATAGGTATTAGTCACTTCTGAGATTATTTAGGCCAATTGCAAGAGCATTCCCACAGTGTGAGAAATACAGAAGCCAAATAAAAACCACTAGAAATCATTTCACTGATAAGCATTTAGCATGGTATGGATTTTGCATGACATCTACAAAGCAAAAGGTGTTTGAGTAATTTTTGCACTGTGATAATAATAATTTTCTCTAGTCTAGCATGCAAAGTATGAGCATTGTTCCCAGTAAACTTAAAAGAGGACAAAACAGTGGTTCTGCATAGCAAGCTGTACTGAAATCCCATAGATACATCATGGACAAGTCCACAGGGGGAGAGTGGCTGAAGGAGCAGTACAAAAATACTGCACTTAACCTGACTGAAAAAGCAGCTTGAAATTGTTAGAAAAAATATGGAGACATTATGTGAAATGATTCAAAGAGGGAGGTAAAGCAGATGGTGGACAGAGAAAATTATTAAAGAACAGCATTTTGTATAGAACAAAGAAAACCAAGATGATCCTGCCTTCTACAAAGAGATCAGAGATATGAACTTTGTTGAGACTCTAGTGAAAAGTTACATATTGGTGATTCAGCCAAAAGGTCCAAAGAAACGGTTTCAAACCCAGAGGATAGACTACTTGTTTTTCTCCCTTGCAGCAAAAAGTATTATTTGTCAATAATACTTAAGACATGAAGTTCACATGAAGAAGGCAGACCAGACTGAGTACCACAGTGACAGAAAGCGCTTGCTACAATTAAAGGTTACTGTGATCTCACAAACTTATTTTAATTGCAGTTCAAGACTACTAGTTACTAGTGCCTGTGTGCATGCAGATTACAAGACCTTGCTTTCAAATAAAAATGTTGACTAAATAAAAAAAAACTAATAAGTTAAATGAGAAGGCTGACATGCCATGGCATTGCTCCTACACTTCAGCTTACAATAAACACGCACCCCTGTGACTCTCTATTTTAACCAGTAACTTTCATTTCTATCACTGGTCAAATTGGTATTCCCTTCCTTCCTCTACAGACCAGTCCTTTAAAACTTCTAATGGAAAAGAGCAGAAAAGACTTGACTCCAGTGATCACCTGAGTCACTTTCCAGCTGCTACTATACTTATTTTATATGTAACTGGGTTATTCTCCAATTTTTCTCATACTTCTGTTACCTCATGCCTGTGGTTAGTTGCCAATACATAAATAGCAATACCAATGTGTACTGAGTATCTAGTACTGGGTATAATATATGACGTTTTACATATGAAGTTTTAAGACACATTTAGAGTAGAGATTATTAAGAAAAAAATTATTTTTTCTTTGTAGTACCATAGTTTGATCAAATTTAAGTAATTAACAACATTACAGTATCAAAAAGGAAAAACAACAATGCAAGTCAAACAGGATAGCTTTCCATCTATATAAATAACGTGTCTCATGATTTACTCACATGCACTTGTGACAATAAAAGTAGTGAGACTATTAAGATCCTTAGATTTACCGTAGCAATATTTTCCCCTGTACTTTAATATATAGTTTTACTCTGAGAAGTGAAATATGTCCCAAGTGGCACAGCTCACTCAGGTTTAAATGATTTTAATTCCTCCAGGACATTGTGCCTAATGTTTGTGACTGGCCAAGTTGCATGTCTTCAGGGGCAGCTATCCAGTAGAAAACACCAAGTGCAGAAATTTCAGTGCAATTTGGTCTGGCTGAAGCTGGGAGCTACTGTCTTGTTAACTTCCAAGATAAATGTGCTCACATTGAAATAAAAAGCATACTTAAATTTTCCTAGTAAAAAATCAAAAACTTGAGATATTTTTGATAGATCATAAAAAGGTTCAGAATATCTAAATTTCACCTCCTCCTTGGTTTGGCTTTGGGTCCAAATTAGTAAGAACTGTATAGATGTATAGGCCCTCCTGCACTTAAAAGAGGAAGAAAAGTTCACTGCTGGGTACAGCTTCTTCTTGAGTGGGCTGAGCATTTCTATCTTCCAAATCCACCCACTCATGACACCAAATAATTTGACACTCGATCTTGATACTATGATCCTCCTTTTTCTTACTCATAGTCCCTGATCAGTAGCAAAACAGTTAACATGTTAACATAAGTAACCACTGAGAACATTAATCTCAGACCTGCAGCAACTCAGATGTCCTAACAGATGTCATGGCTTTAGTTCTGTCCTGTTTGCAGTTCCAAAGTTTTCTTTGTGATTGTTAGAGCTAGATGCTACAGAAATATGGGAGAACTTTGAAATATGGAACCAAACAAAGACATCTGCTTAGTTTTCAGAGGATCTGAGGCGACAGTTCTGAAATGTGAGCTGCTCCAGCTTATTTTACAAGTAAGATGCTTTCTCCTAGCCACAGACTGTGATACAGCTGTAATTAGACCTCAGTTTCACACAGAGAATCCATTTTTTCTTGCATAAGTTTTTAGAGTCATCTATAAATAATGAGAACTTAATTTACATTTCTGCTGTGTATGTCCACAACTAAAGCCAGTTTGATTGTTCCAATCTGAGCTGACTTCTCAGCTACAACTACACTAAAATAGCGAGGAAGACGTCATTAAAATAATTCCACAACTCCAAACACTTACCAGAAACACAACTGATATTAGAATACACTTATATATACATATTAAAATGTATATTAATTATATATGCACAAATACAGGCATACATACATATATATATATATATAGTCTGATTTATACCAGACTGAATGAATTTCTTTCTTATGGCTGTTATCATTCAAAACACCTGATAATCAAGTGAAAAGAAACTATAGGTAAAACAATTTATGCTGTCTCTTCCAAGTTTTTAAAAAAATGTTGGATATTTCATGTACAGATTTTTATTTGGGATGTTTATAGTCTGGGAATTTGAAGCACAGTGTCCATCAGTGTTAATGACACCTGTGATTAAATGACACATATGTATAGAGACATGTTTCTGACTTTGAGCTACCTTACAGTTCTCAGGACAACTGTTTCTTCTGACAGCAAAGGTATCAAAATTCATAAAAACTGTGTGCAAAACTGCATAATAAAGAACAAAATATTACTGAATTCAGGAAGAGGGATGATAATACGTTCCACTCACTGAAATATCCTCAAGTACTCACTCACAAGATCTGTGAATCTAAAACAGCAGGAAGACATTTGTCTGTATATTCAACCTGACACCCGAACTGAGAAGTATACAGAGAGTATTGTCAGTCATCTGTCTCTTATGCAGAATTGGTTTGCAAATTAAATAAATATGATCAAATAATAGCATTAATCCACAGTGACAACAAGAATGCACCTACTTTTAAAACAAAAAAATGCACATGGCACAAGCAGCAAAAGAATCTCCTTTGCAAAAGTGCTGTTTTTTCTACTGTGGTTAATCAATGCTAGTGCACCTGGACCCTGAATATTTATGGCAGTGACATACATCTGTTTAATGTTCAGAAATAATTAGATTTTGCTGAAGCAAAGATAATGAATTCTCCTGGAACTGTGTGGCAAAATAAACAGATGAAAGGTATTAATAAGCATTCTGTGTTCCTTAAAAAACCCCAAGAAACCCAAACAAAAAAACCCCACAACTCTTTTCTTCCAGCACTGATTATACTTTGTATAAAAATCTGTAGTCCAAGATTTTCTGTCCTTACCACTGCAATTTCCCCATTTGCAACACTGCAAAATCCACACATTAATAAATCATGCAGTTTCATTTTACCTTTGCCTGCACCTACAGCAGGACGGAGAATACCAGCTTTAATGGAGGAAAACAAGAATAGGAACACTATATAATTAGATACAACACCAAAGGGAACATACATATATAACTTCATAACAAAAAGCATGCAGACTAGATAAAATGCATTAATTCAAATAAATTAGAAGCTAAACACTGACAGACTGCTACATGACAAAAATTAATATACATGCATTTACAAAATTTTATTGCTCATGCTTGTTAAGATTCCATTCTTAAAATAAATGCAGTTTATATGCAACCTTAATATACAGTATCAGAGAAATTGCATTGCATACCAACTCATCTATGACAACAAATGATATCTTTACTAAGCATAAAAATATGTAAAAAGATGCTACCGAAATAAACTTTTCATATTAAGATGAGCAAAATAATAAAATTCCACGCAAATTTCCCAATGGCTTTAAATTACTCTTATTTTATTAAGCTTTCATATTTAATTAAACAACTTCAACAAAAAAACCTGCCAAAATCAAAGCTCCAGAATGCCTGTAAATATAAAAATCAATAGTGATGGGATTTAACAATATACTTGGTAGTTTTTAAATACTATACAATGTCACCAGTTACTTGAGGCCATAGAAGACAAATTTATTGCAACAGCTTTACAGTTTTTTGCCAGCTCTGTGAAAAAAATTTAGACTCCACAGAAGTTGTTGCATACCTCAAAAGCCAAAAAACTTTCTCTAGTTATAAAGCTGGATCATTTCTGTATTTTTCTCTGTGACCAAAGATGGTCAATGAAGCAGAACAGGTGAATAGACAAAGAGCACAAAAAATGTGAAAGTTGAAGCCCAGAAAAGTGAATGTCTTAGAGCTTGGTAGCTTATATCAAAAGAAGGGGCTTTACACCTCTTTTGGGGCTTCCACTTCAGTACAAAAACTTTGCATGTATTTTCTTAAAAATCATTTAACATATTTTATTAGTGCATAATACAGTTAAGGAAGCTCTAGGAAAAAAATCACTAGGGCCTATTTCCTTAGTGGAAGGAAGTAATAGCAGTATTTTTAATACAATCTGTAATGTTTTTTTAAACACAATGGAAGTTCCTTATACATACCCATCTTACCTTCATCCATAATTGTTACTGCTTCCTCAGTTATCTGACTTCCTGATCCAACTGAAGTTTGTGCGTTAAAGTAAAACTTGTACCGTGTGCTGTAATTTAAATTTTTTAATATCAAGCTGCTCTCGTTGGCAGGAATTCTTATCTCTACCAAGGGACCCAATTCATGTGTGTTGTTGACTGTTGTTACAAGAAAAAGAAAAAAAAAGTTAGGAAAGTTGCATACATTGTCATTGTGTTAAAAAAGGGTTTTTTTGGTTTGTATTTGTAAACAGTCTCCTTTGTGTAAAAAGAATCAGTTCAAGGGGCCAAAATTAACAGGGAAATTAACAGGCACTTAAAAAATGTGCCAGTTTTTTAAGTTCAAGTTCCATTCTCATAAATATATGAATCCAAGGCAACTGAGTTCACATCAGATCATCTGAACTTACACAGAGTTGAAACACTGATCATTAAAGAATTCTGAAACTCTAAATTCAGTATCCTTAGGATAAGAAAATACTGAAGTGACTTGTGTCAAACACCAATGAATAGTGGAATTTGGTGGAATAGTGGAAGAAAGTAAACTTCCTTAATCTGTTCCATGTACACAGAACTCTTAAATTTCCACTGTCAGTGCTGACAAATGTGTGGGTTAAGTAAGCAGCTGGGATCCTAAAGAAGTGATTTAATAGCTCTGATATGAGTAAATGGCACATTTATTAGTTTTTCATTTTAAAATTACAATACCATGACAAATGAAACAACAGAAGACAATGTATTTGGATGTCTTTTGATCTGTTTCTGATGATAATTTCTGTGCAGTTAGAATATAGAATTTGTAAGTATCTTGTGTCTAACTTGGGTGCCACTTTTATGTAGGACTTCACCTCCATTTTTCCGTGAAGTATGATTTGAAGAAATAAAAGAAAAATGTTAACCTTGTACTTGAGCAAGGAAAGTTTTCCAAATACAATTATCTATATTAACAAAATATATTAATTTTTTTCAAACTTGACATCTACAATGCAATCATATCTTTTTTACATTATATATTAACATAATTTATTATATTAACATAATTTTTTCTTCATAAATGAATTACTATTTGGTAGATGTATCGCCGAAGTTAGAGTTATATCACAGAACGGTTTGGGTTGGAAAGGACCTTAAAGATCATCCGGGTCCAACCCCCATAATATATTCATAATTAACTTACTTGGCTGAAACTTCAGTATATATGATGTCAAAACACCATTTGGATGGGTAGGTGAACCCCACTCCAGAGTCAGAGAGTCCAATGTTGGGTTTGTAATCTTCAAATAGGAGGGTGAGCTAGGAACTTTTAAGAACATACAGTAAATACAAAGTAGATTAACTTTAAACAGGTCATGAATAATTAATTCTTAATAATATTACTGTATTGAGACAGATTATTATTTTATGATGTCCAAGCTTACGTTTCAGTTTATTCTCTAGCATTCTCATTTCATACCTCCTTCAGGGGTCTTAAATACTTTGTCTGGGCTTGCTGGTCCTTCTCCTTTACCATTAACAACTCTAACATTCAGCTTGTAAGAACTATAGGGCTCCAGCCCTGGTAACATTCCAAAAGTCTTGTTTCCCCTGAAAGTCAAGATCTTTTTTTCTACATGCCGCCTACTCCTTCTGGATAGACTCTGCACTTTCCAGTAGTAAACCTAAAGACAAAAAAAAAAATCTACAGTGAGTGCTTAGGTGTTCTGATTTTACAAACTCTAAGCTTTCCATGAGTGTTCATGAATTATAGACAGGAATAACAGCAGTTTTAATAAGCTCTGGTGAGACATAGCATACAGCTTTCCTGCTCCAGAAACAGACCTTGTCCAGAAACAGTCTACACAACTGGGCAAAGACTACCACCTGCCAGTTCTGCTAATGCTCAAAGACAGCCTGACACAAGTTCTGGTCTGAAACTGCATTGGTATGTGATGATTCTCCTGTTAGCAAGACTGTCTGAGAGGCAGAAGTCACCCATACCATCTATTCTTCCAGTAAGATGTCTACAAGTATATGTCATTAAATAGGAAAGAAACCAAAAGATTTGGCTGGAAAACACACAAATTCTGAAACGACTCTGAGGTTACAGTATTGGAATGGTTTCCACACAGGGATAGAAGACTATTCCGCCATTTATGTGACAATTCGATCAGACCACAAAGCTGATTCTGCTGTCCATTTTGCTGAGCCTCAGAGGTACTCTGACTGCACTCTCTTTACTACACAGTATCTCTACCATGATAGCTCAAAAGATATTAATAGTTGCCCCTACAAAGACTTGTGTTACTCCTAGGATTGTCACCTCCAAATACATAATTGTTTATTTTCTTCTTAGGTTTGAAAAGCTTTATAGTACCATTGAGTAATAGCTAGATTAATTCAAGATCAAAAATATGAATGATGTGCTGTAGACTGCTGCTTATTTAGATGTCTTCCTGCTTTGTTCGTAAATTTGTCTTCATCACATGACTCTTTAGAGAAGCACCCCTCTCTTTATTAACAAATCTGTCCCTAATGAAACACTGTATATTGGGCTTCTTACTGAAATAATTTTATTAATTAGGAAAGTCTGAGTATGCTAGCAGGATTTTGCTCCCTTGTTTAAAAAGAGCTAATCGTGTGCTTTGTAAGCTACGTCAATATAAAGAGAGACTTAAAACATACTATGCATCCATGAAAAGTTTTCATTTTGCATTCAGAGAAAGCTTTATAACAATAACCATCCACCAGGTCTTAGGACTTCTCATGCCTTGCCTAGTTTTTAGTCTATTTTAGCTTGATTTAGCTGTATCTGCAAAAATTATTTAAGAAACTCTTGCTGCATCTGCAACTTATTCAAGGATATACCATTGTCACATTTGTCCTAGGCAGAACAGCAAAACCACTCAGTGGTCAGATCTGTTGTCAATCCTGTTGTTCTCAGATTGTTTTATTCATGATTATCAAGTAACTTATTTTAACTTCAGTTTTGCTTAGCTTTGTGTAATTGTGTGGTTCTCCTCCTCACAATAAAAAATGATACTGTATATAGAGTACATATATGTGTATATATATATGACACTAAAGAAAAGTAATCATACCATGACTAACCCCTTAGATAAACTTGAAAGGAAAGTGTGTAACCCATTAGTAATGACAGGACAGAAGATAATTCTCAGATACTGCAAGTCTGAGGAAAAAGAAATCTCTGCCTAAACTTTGGATGATGACAACTCACCGTCACCATGCTGTTGAAGGATGAGAACTTAACACCTGATGTATGGGTGGATGCACTGGATTACTGGATTAATAATAAGCACTAGTTTCACCTAATTCTAACTCATTAATCCTCACATAATGGACCTTTACTTTTGGTCACCCATTTCTGTGTGAAACAACAAGTTTATATAAAACTGTTGTCTAACAGATAAACATTTAAGAGGTTAATAAAGTCCTGTTTCTCAGTTGGGTTAGTGAGTTAGTCGCAAAGCATCACACTAACTACAAACACTCATGCCAGCTCATACAGAACTAGCTTAAGTCTCTCTGGATGGTGGTATTTTGTGCAGGCAAGTGATATTCACATACCAGGAACTCACATTCATGTGGTAAACAACTGTAGAGCACTGAAGTTCAGTTTCAATGCTTTTGCATGCTAGTCCTCCATTTTATAAGTATGATGTACATTTATTCTCTTCCAAATTCTCTTTACTCTTTTAATTTTTCAAATACTTCTTTTACTTTCTTTCATTTAAAGAGAAGTAGTTCAAATTAGTCTGTCTTACAAAGTAACCTAGTTCAGGCTGTGTCAGTAGTCTGTTTTGTTAGAACATACTTATCAAAATACTTGCTAAGGAGCAAAGAGCAAAGAAGTATATTATTTTTTATTTTCTTCTATTGCTGAATAAGGAGTCAGTATATCCTCACATTCCACTCTTCCCTCCACAACCATTCTACCCTGCTGCTTCAGATTGCACACCTGAGTTTCTTCTGAAGGGATTCTAGTGCAACCTCTGAAGCAACTTTTGCCATCAGATTTTCTTTATCCCCCAGGGATACCAGTTCCCCCAGTATCTAATCTTGAAGACCTTCTGTCTCCCATTCTCTATTAATATATTGCACTCTCTAATTTTATATTAATTCTGTTATACATATTGCAGTCTTTTGTCTCCAACACAGCCTTTTCAGTTATCACCAAAGGGAACACAATACCTTACCATAAGCTTCCTTCAATTTTATGGGCACTTCAACTCTTCTGCCATTTCCTATATCCTTAAATTAAGCTTTTACACTGAACCTGGCCTCCAAAAAGACACTGAACCCAGCACACATTAGGAAGTGGCCAGTTACTCAGAATTAAAGATGTGATTAAGTATATTGCGGCAGAAGATGAGTAACCTTAGCATTAGACCTAGAAGAGATTCCTACAGAAATAATTTTTTCACATCCTCTAAATATTATTTTTTAATAAGATCTGCAAAACTGTTATCATTTTTTTATCGGTTTCATGTATGCAAACTTAATTGCAAACACATCCCATTTTCCTTCAAGGACAATGTCACAGGCGTCTAGTGCTACAAGGCTGGAACATAGCTGAACTATATATTAATTGTATCAAAGCTGTTGCTCTTATCAGCAAAACCTGGAGCTCACTGAAGAGTCCTCTTATACATCAGGTACTTCAATCTGAATACAATCTCATATAGGAAGAGTGTTCTATTTTAACAAATGAAAAAGAGAATGCTTTTGACTGTACTTACTTTATACCCTTGGAGGTGTCCTCGGACAGATTTTAGTGGAACTGGGTCCCAATGCACCTTTGCTAATGTGCTGTTAATAACATGAACCTGCACATTGCCTGGAGCAACCATTGGCACTGTGTGGAAAGGATGCAACAAGCACCCAGTTAGAATGAGAAACCACACAAACATACTTTTTCAAACTGAGTCTTTGCATTGTACTCAAGGAATAGACTAAAATGTTTCTATGTTTTCAGGATTAATAATACAGAGTATTATGAAGCCTTATTATCTCCAAATTACTTCCTTTTAATTAAAATAATAACCACTATTTCCTTATCAGTATTTCAGTATTTTAAATACCCATTTAGGTTACACATTTAGTTCCTTTAAATTAGTATAACTGAGTCAAACCACAAAACTTACAGTCTTCCCCTGAATGTCCAATCACCTCTGATGGCTCCGGTGCATATCCCAGGTCATTTAAAGCTTGTACTTTTATTTCATAGGGAACAAAAGTTGGTGTACCAGACACAATATATTTAGATACATTTGCAACTATAACTGATGTCCATTCATCATCAACATCCTTCTGGCGCCAACTGACTTTGTACTGAAGTCCTGGTCCATTAGACTGAAAACCTTTTAAAGACTGAATGAAAAGAAACATTTTTTTAAATATTCTGAAGCATCTGAAAACTCCGAAGTCACAAAGGAAATATACCGATTTTTCTTTAGAATTTCACTGAAAATTTACCACTGTGTTCTGTGACAAAGAAGCACTACTGAAATTTCCAAGTTATGCAATTTAGCTTTTGCCAGAGGTCAGTTCAGTTGCTTTTCACTCTTTAATAAAAATCACACTGAATGGTGATGGTGGCTAATTCTCACACAACAAGACGTTGTGATTTCTGTATACACGTTTTGATTTCAAATATTTCTTTAGAAGTGGAAGAGGAAAAAGCAGACTTACACTGACTCCCTATAAACAGTGTGCCCATGGGAAACTGGGCTTATATGGCTCTGCTTGAGTTCCCATCACGACGGTAAAGGCACGATAGAGAAAACTTTGATGGAAGTTTTTTACTGCGAAAGTGCATAATGATTTAGTTCATCACAAAAGATGACAGCACAAGTAGGATTTACATTAAAAATTATTCTAAAAATAAGACTCTACTTGAGACAAACCTCAATTTACATCTTTAAGTTTTCCTAAACTGGCAGCAAAACATCCTGTATTACCTAATTATTGGCTTATCTTGAGAAATCACTCAGGAAAATATGGCCTCTTAACTAATTCACTTTTTCTCAAAAAGCACTCAGCTTTTTCCTGGAAATGAAGACAGGGAAATATCTGAATTTAACTCCTTTTAAAGAATATTTTAAGTAAGCAATGTATAGGGTATTCTCATCATTATTTCTCAAAAAATGCTACTCACAGACCTGAAAACAAATGGAACCTCAAAAAGAGATCCAACTTACCTCCCATGTTATTACCAAATTATCGGGTTCTGAGCCTATCCCTTGCACATTAGCAGGATTTTCATCAGGGCCTAAAATAAAATATTTACATGTGAACAAGAATGACTGCTGTTTGATTCCAAGCAAATTCAATGCTATTCATAGTAGAAATCAATTACTGGTGAGAAGAAATACTTATTTACTTGCAGATTTTGTGAGGTACTGCTCAGATGGTTCACTGGGCTGACTTCTACCAATCTTATTGACAGCTATCACACGGAATGAGTAGTTGACGTACGGAGACAACTTCAACTGTACTGTTGTCTGAGTTCCAGGAACTTCCGTCTGGTAATGCCATACTCCTGGTTCATGCAGCCCATCTTCATATTCAATTACAAAGTCTGCAAACAGAAATTGAATCTAACTTCATGTCAAAACTTGCAACACCTTCCTAGACCAGGGTAGGCATTTCTGAACGAGCTAATCAGAAGGGAGTGCTCTAATCAATGCCTTTAAATTTTGTGGAACTGGAAATAAATACATAAACCATAACACAGATCTATAATGAGGATACCAGAAGTACTGCTTAGGTAGAAATATAGTAAATACACCCTCACTTTTATCTTTTGGTATTCTTACTAATGCAGGTACCTTTCAGGTAACATGTTACTCTCTCTCTAGTACCGGATTTTAATTTAATGGGAACCCTTGAACTATCACAGCACAAAAGAGGGACAAGATTGGAATTTTGATGTAAATTTGTCTGTCAAATATATTGTTCCTAGTTGTATCAAGCAGACAGCATCTAGTACCTGTACAAAATTAAAATTCTGAATACTCCATTTTCCCCAATGAAGTTAGCTTAATGAAGAATCAATACTTTAGATGGTTTTTGAGAGCACTTTTCAGTATCTTCAAATTAAGTCAGGGAATGTATGTTCAGAAACTAAGTTTCTTGAGTTTTCTGTGAGAACATTACAATGATTACTATTAAGACCCTACAAAGTATATAACCTCAGGGATAAATAGGCTTGTAGAGTTCCAAAAAGAAAATCACATTCATTATCAAAGACAAAAGGATGTATTTTTCCAGCTGTGAAACACCCAAAAAACCTTACTGCTCTAAGGTATGAGATATGAATTCTGAAAGACTTAGGAGGAATTGTTAGGACACAGTAAATAAATGGGACAAGAATGCACAGTCTGAGTACATTCTATGGAACTTTAAGTTTAGATGTATGAAATTTACATGAGCATCAAATATTTGTGTGTTGTGTAACAAGAATTTTTCCCTATCTCATGTATAGGTGGGGACAAGAAGACAGAGTATGATTCAGAATACATCCTCTTTGCACTACTAAGAAATTCTGAGGGCCATCTAGAAATTTCTTTTAGAAGGATACTTACAGCACCACATAGAAATAATGCGCAAGAGTTTGAGGAGCCAAGACATAAAATAGATAACTACTACTAATCTTAACCTTCTGGACTTAGGGCTAGCAGATTTCCTTCCGGTCTAAGTAGTAAGAATGAAAAAGAACTGACCCCAAACTACTGTCTGAATTACTGCTGGTGGTGTGTGCTCAGCGATAAAGGTTTTGGGATGGGAGGTCTTCTGGACCAAAGCTTTGCTGAAAAGGTGAGAATATTACATGCTAAAAAAGTTTTCATTACTGCTATTTGCTTCCCTAGTAACTAGCATTCTGTCTGCAACTCTAGTAGAACAACTTCAAGGGAAAAAAATCTATCTGAGCTTTCAGAAAGATTCTACCATGTCAATCATATTACTTGTGTAAAGGGATCACTGGTAATGAAGTGCTATCCTTGAGTCCTGATCTGCACTTTGAAGTGATAGCAGCAGCAGGAAAAATAGGCTTACTCAGGAAGCAAATGCCTTACTTTTCAGGCTTTAAGGGGACCATGCAGCAATATCAATTGCATTATAATTAAAACCAGCATTATTTAGTCAGAGGAGCTCAGTTTCCGATATCAGAGTGCATGCAATATCTCACTCTAGAAAAACCTACATAAGCCAACACCGCTTAGTATTATCTTTTTCATACACTGTGATCTCATTCCTACAGAAAGACAAGATTTGTGTCTTCTGGTCTGGAAATAAAATGAAAATATTAATAAAAGAGCATATGAATAAACCATAACTTAAATAAAATTCAACTATTTACATTAACCTTCTATATATTTTTTAAAGAATATTACTAGTTGATATACATTAGAGAAGTCCGAGAGCGTAAAATTTCAGCAAAATCACGTGGTGTTTCATTAAAATGCAGTCAAAACCTTTGATGTGCTCTGAAATTTGTGAAATTCTAGTTTTTATAAAACTTCCTTTACAGATCCTTATAGTTTGTGTTCTGTGTTGATAATGACCAACATCAGACGTTGGAGAGCAACACCCAGTAAATCAGCCTAACTAACTCATACCAAACATAACATGTACACTGGTCTTGGTAACTTGTGGCAGTTACTATCTAAAAAGACACTGCACAAATAATTAAATAATTCCATTAAGTTCCTCATGGGGAAAAAGTTAACCCAACAAATCTTTCTGATCATATGATTTTTTGGAAAACAAACAGTAATATCTTTGTTCCTTCCTCCTAAATTCCCCCTCCATCCTCTCTGCTCAATATAAGCAAGAATGTCTTTCATCATGTTTTACTGGGAAGAGTAACAGCATTTAAGATCAATTTCTGTCTCAGAAATTTATAGACATTTATTTTTCTGTTGCATGGACATGCTTTACTCTTTTAACTGTCTGGACTAGAAAAAGAAAGAAAACCAGAAAAACTGTCTGCCTTATATTTTCATGAAGAATAAGCTTCTGTATCAGTAGTGATGGATAATCCCTAAAAATAGTGGTACTGATGCTATTTCAAATTCCCAGGAATTACAAAGGAGTTACTGCAAGATGGTAGTAGCTCTCTCCTTCATACAATCAATAAAAACATACAACCATACAACCAATAAAAAAGTCGACTCTCCACCTATTCATGAGATTGGATCTTGTCAGACAGACCTCATATATGCATGAACTTCTATGTTATCTAGCACAGGTTTTTTGAATAAAAAGGCCCAGCTCTTTTGGGCAGTAAATAAGTCTGCTTGGCTGTACAGTAGAGGACATTAGGTGACTCTTTGTAATGTAATTAAATGGCAGCTGCAGAGAATTCATTTAACATTTTCCATGCTTCACACAAAATTTATCTCAGAAATCTTTGGAATTTGAAAACAGTTAAGATAATGCTGTCAATGTAGTGTAGTAGATAAAAACAAACATACGTGTAATGGGACTGTTGTTTTCATCTCCTGGTATCCATGAAAGTTCAATGCTTCTTTCTAGCTGACCTGTCAATTCCAAGTCAAAGGGTGGATTTGGCCGAGCTATAAATCAAATGGACACAAAGTAAATTACCACACCAGAATATGTAGTTATATATTTTAAAAAAATCCTTACAGTCCAATCAAAAGAATTCCACAGCAGGGCATATCTACTCACTTATGTAAGTGGGACTTAATGACCATTAGCATGCAATTGTTACAAAACAAATGAAAAAGGGAGAAACGATGTATCCTGAAAACTTCTATATATTAACAAGAATCTGTATTTATTTTTATCTATGTCTGAGTGCACTTTGATAAAAATGTGATGAGATGTAAGGAATTGTGAAATGCATGTTTAGTTTATCTTTGAATGATTATGGGTGGTTACCTAGTGTAGTAGAAATATCTAAAAAACCAGGGAAAATAAAGAAGTATTCACATCAAAGAAGCTTTTCTAGAAGCACTACAAATATTTTTTGTGTGAATTCAATCAAGTATAGTTCAAATAGAAACTAATTGCAAGTTACTGACTCATTTATTTTTGGCTGTTCTTTTAAAAGTCCATACAATCTGTTACTATGCATCCTTATAATGCATAAAGATGTAACTATCCATTCCAAATTCCCAAAGGTAATTCATTATATGATTTTTTACACAAAAATCAAGACTAATGAGTAGGTTCATTTAAGAATACATAAGCATTTTCATTGAATGTGATAAGATTTACATAAAAGTGCTTATGACCCTTATACCTTGAAGTGTTTTAGCATTTGCACTTTAAAACCTAAATTCAGAAAACATGCTATAAAATTAAAGGCTTTATACCATCAAATTCAATACCGTATCTGACTAATAGATTTCTTTTTAATTTCAACTTTAATTTTAAAATCTTAGCAATTTCATCGATTGTAAACCAAACTGGTCAATACGGTCATATTCATCTTATGAGTGGATTTACCCATGAGAAAAACATTGTCATACTACAACCAACCTTAATTATAAATAATTTATTTCTGAAAACCACTTATTCCCTAAAATACAAAGCAACCTGCACTGTAAAATTCCAAAGTCCAGTACTCTAGTAATGAAGCAGTTGGTAAAATGGGATGAAACCACACAAACAGACACAGACACACACAGAGGAAAAGGGGGAAAAAAAAATGTTGCACTTCGCAGTAGGCAAATCAGAAATATATCTGCCAAATGATGTAGATATAGAACTTCGTATTAGTTTACCGTAAATGATAGCTGGAGTTGGGGGAGCAGCTGAAAAGGACATTAATATAAAGGATTTAATCAGTTAGTAGCCAAAGAAACAGAATACTGTAGGCAGTTAAAGACTATAGTTATTAGAGACAAAGAAAAGTTAACTTATTTAGATAAATGGTTACTTAAAAATAATACATTGATAATTTTTCACTGAAAAGCTATAAAACTATTCTTGAAAACTATTCATTTTTTAAAGAAGGATAGATCAAGAAAATAAATAAAGTAAGCAATCTTATAAAAGCATTTAAATAAGTACTAGTTGTTTGGCTTAGATCATTCCTGGATAGGTATAAGATCACAGAACAAATTTAAAACACAAACATACTTGACTTTGAGTCTCAGCTTGAACTCAGGTAAGAATCGTTCAGCACATCTACTTAGAACTTTCTTATAAATTGGAGAAGGTGCAAAGTAATATATTCTGCAATAATCTGAAATCATAAAAACTTAACAGAGAACTAAGGTAAAAATAAAATCCTTGGGAAGTCATATAACCAAGTATGCTCAGTCTTTCTGAACTATAATTTAGTTGAGAAAGAGATTCCTGAGATAACATACTCCCAGTTCAAGAAAGACATGGAGCTGTTGGAATGAGTCCAAGGGGAGACACTAAGTTGATCATGGGCTGGAGCACCTCTCCCATGAAAGCAGGCTGAGAGAGTTGGGGCTGTTCAGCCTGGAGAAAAGAAGGCAGTCTCCCAGTACGTAAAGGGAGCTGAGAGGGACTTTGCACAAGGGCCTATAGCAACAGGACAACGGGGAATGGCCCTAGCTGAAGGAGAGTGGGTTTAGATTAGGTATTAGTATGAATTCTTTCCTGTGAGCATGGTGAGGCACTGGAACAGGTTGCCCAGAGAGGTTCTGTGGAAGGTGTCCCTGTGCAAGGCAGGGGTGTTGGAACTAGATGATCTTTAAGGTCCCTTCCAACCCAAACCATTCTGCGATTCTTATATGTTCATGAACAAATACTCTGCTAGCTTAAATGTGGTCAAAATAAAAACCTATACAGTGCGAAAGCAAATGTGCCCTGCAGTTACTGGACCCTTTTGTAAGTAGCTGATTTAAAGGCAAACTTTAGGGTAAGAATACATTTTCTAAAAGTTGAAACACATTTACACATAGGTGGCATTTCCTTTGTCCTGTCCTAGAAACCAAAACTATGCGCTTTTCACTTTAAATCTAATGCTGTTTTTAATACTTAAGAGTAATTAAACACAGTTCTGCTATCATAAAGTTTGAGAGTATTCTTACCAACAACAGTAAGCACAGCACTTGCTGAAACACTGTCCAGAGTAGTATTAACTATGCAAGTGTATGTTCCATCATCTTTATCAGTTACATTCATAATGGTCAAGTTGTCTTTACCAACTAGAAACCTGTAAATACAATAGATTCAGCCACTGATTTTTCAATAACTGGTAGTGTTATAAGAAACTTGCATAAGACATTATCTAATCCTGTATGTGTCTACTGCAGCACATACCTAAACAGCAAGGTAAGCTAAGGCACAATGTAAGCTTTCATTTTCTACATTGCTCTTGACCATTTTCCCACAGTAACTGTCTATCCTAATGTGCTTTTCTTTCCAAATATACTCAAACAACTTTTAAATATATGTGATCTAGAGCAAAATAGTCTTTCATTATCTGTTTGACTTCTTATATCAATTCTCTTCTCCTTACACTTAATATACATGGTCAGTGTGCACATTTTTATAAAAGATTACATCTCATTTTATTTTTAATTCTATCTTAATATTTTCATCACACTAGGTAAGTCCTTGAGTCAGCAAATATGGAATAGTTATGATATTTATCAGTCTTCCTTGGAAAATGTCAATAGGTCAATATGTACCGTTCAGAGATCAGCAAAAGAAGCAGACAAAAGGACCTAGAAAATAAAAAAATAAAGGAAAACTAATTGGTCCATACCTTTCATCATCTGGAAGTTCATCATTGTCCTTCAACCACATAACTGTTGGTAGTAAGGTAGAATCATGTTTTATTATACACTCAAATGAAACTTGGCCATATCTCTGAACCACTTTGTATTCTGGCTGTTTAATTATCATTGTTGGATCTGAAATTTAGAATTAATATTAGATATTCAGAAAGTCTGAAATTCTGTACTAATCAGTGACGAATGAATGATTAATTTCTTACCTTTAATTTCCAAGTGCACCTCATTTTGTATCTTTCCTAATTCATTCCTTGCTACACATGTGTATGTACCAGTACTATCTTTCTGAGCCACCGGAATTTCCAAGGTTCCGTTATCATGGAAAACGTATTCATTTCCACGCAAGATGCTACCTTTCACTCCCTTAAACCTTTATGTAAAAAGTAATATCATTATCCAGCATCAAAGTTAAATTCTGTAGTATTTTATTATCAGAAAATGCAAACTTAGGACTGCCACGTTAGAAAATACAGACAGAATCACCTAAAGAAATTTAAACTTGACTCTGTGGGATAACTTAACTGTTGCTACATTAAATATATGTAATAATATATTAGTGAACGGTAATCAGCATGTATTTTAAAATACACTATTTTAAAATTGTAAATAGAGTTTAAATAGTTTTAAAGTCTCCATAGATATGAACAGCTCATTTTCCATATCTCAAGCATAGCTACAGCTTACCATTCAATTTCAGGCTTAGGTGACCCAAAATAAGCACAGTCTAGCAATGCAGGACTATCTGCGATGACTTGATATAGCTTATTAGCAGGAGTTAGGATTCTCGGTGGTTCAGCTGAAAAGACAAAGATATCTAGATATAGATACAAAGATACAAATACAAAATTCAAAGACATCAAGACTGGCCTAAAGAATTACATGTTAACATCCTTCTCTGAAGTGACTTCTGGTCTCAGTCAAGATCCAAATACATTCTACTGGCACTAGCCTGAGGAGAAGATAATGAAGGGGAATTATCTCGTGAAAAACAAATGTTTCTTGCCTGTTTACAAGTCACAGTGGTGGGTAGCAAAGGCAATGATTTCAATTGGAAAATTTAAATCAGTAAATACTTCAAGAAGATAATCTCCTGGGAACAGAGTGAACTATATAATCCAAACAAAGCTGCAGGCAGAAAGAAGCTAGGATATATTTTTGGTGCAACACCTACATTTTGTTTCTTTGAAAAGACAGTGTCTCTCAATCAACAGATCTGCCAGTTCCCGCAGGAGAGTTGTTAGAGGTCATTCTGCCTAGAATTTTGTTACTAGCTTTGTTAAATTCAGCGTGAATTAGAGAGGCCACAACATCTTGTAACTGGAAACATATTTTTGGGAGGCCTTTCAAGACAAATGCATAATCATATCCCCTTGCAACAGTAATTTAGAGATTCATCTATTCAACTGATGTGAAATATCCACACTCAATGAAACTGTATTAAAACATACTAAGTTAAGGAATACTAATTCCAGCCTTATTTGTTACACTTCCATTTGCTTGATTTACATAACAAAAAAAAAAAAAGAGAGAGAGAGAAAATTTCTTCCAAGTTTTCTCCAGCTTTCACAACTATCCTTCTTACTTAGGTACAGTGAAAGTGAAACTCAGGAATACCCTAGAAAAACCAGGTATGTATACACTTGCTTTTTACAGGGGTCAGGAAATACATTGATTCTTACTAAAGACCTCAAGCAAGGCTTGAGCACAGTGTCTGTGTAGTAGCAGGAGACAACTAAATAGCTAAGAAAACTGAAAAATATAAAATCTGTTTCTTACCCAGAACATTCACAAATGCATTTGCTAGCAAGTATCCATATTCATTAGAAGCATTGCACTGATAGACGGCACTTGATCTTTCTTGCACATGGGAGAAAATAATGGTGTCACCATCTACCTTTCTGCTAGGATCTTCTGGGGCAACTGTTGGTGTAAAGAAAAAGAATTATTGCTTTTCCTAAACTGTTCTTGGATTGTAATTTTCATACTTCTGAAGAGAAGAATCTGAAAGACCAATATGCCCTTTATGTTTTTTTTCCTGGGTGGCTGCTCACTGGTAAAGACGTGAATTTTAATATCATAAAGGAAGTTCTCCCAATTCTACAATATTAACTCAGGATGGTAGAGTTCCCATTTTTGGAGAGTTTTTTTTTTTATTTTCCAAAGAAGCGAAGCTGAAATTGTATTTTACATGCAATACAGAGAAAAAATACAGATATGACAAGATTCAAGCAAATACAGACAATATCTAGAAAAATACAGAAGTATTTCTGAATGTCAAAATAAAATGCTGATAGAATGACACAGTCCTCTGTAACTTTAAAGTTTCAAATCAATTGTTATACCATAAATAATTCCCCAAATATAAAAATAGCCATACTCAGTTGAAGTAAGTTGAGTAAAGCATAAGCAATTGCTTCCCACAAAATCAAGAAACAGTCTTCACAAGAGCACAGTTAGTAATTCAGCAGGTGGCACTCTTTCCCTTATGTAAGAATTATACATTGCCATTTCCTTGACTGTTCTGGAGTAGTCTGAGCTGTCAAACAGCTCTTGCATCCCAGAAGCATGGAGGACATAACTGAAAATAAAATTCTAAGATAATACTGAAGAATAATAGCTTGTCAGTTATGATCCAAATGGATGAAGTTAGAGAGGTACAATGGAGAAAAAATTTAGCTTGTAACAATAAAAACACACAAACTATAGTTTAATATTTTACGAAAATATTAAGTAAAAGCAGATGATATTATTAATGTATTAAAAAGCAGATGTATTATTATTATTGAAAGTTAATAGTAAAATTAATGTTGTTCTTAAATGAAAAATAAATTTATATACCCTAGTTTGGATGCATTATCAAAATTAACACCTATATTGAAGCTTCAGAAAATAAGTATATTTGTGGAAGGCAATTTGGTATTAAAAAGTTTCTCATTTATTTGGACTCATAGAAAAGATGAATCAACTAAATTAACATCAATTTTCCAAAAGTGACAGGACCTTTCGATTCAGACAATGTCTTAGTACTTATCTGTAAAGAAAATAGAGAAATTTCTCCTGCATTTTCTTTAAGTATCTACTACTGAATTCTCTACAAGAGAAGGAACCAGACAAAGAGGACCACAGTTCTGTGCTTCTGCTTAAGGGTATTTCCATGATGAGTGAACTCTAAGGCCATTTTTCATGTAAAGTAATTACATCTATTTCCGAAGAGTTGCCTAGAGAACAGTTTTCAACTCTATTTTTCCCTCTGGTCTTCCATCGCTCTGAGTTCAAATCGACATCACAAAGTCAAATATTTTGAAAAGGAAAAAAGGTACCACTGGGATTTTAAATGGTTATTCTCTGGACTTCTGGATTGCTGGCACTTATTTTTCATCTCTTTTGCTTTACTTCCTATTGTGTTCCGTGTCTCGCATTGCTTCCTACTCTATGTAAATGCCGTTTTCATTAAAAGATTCATGGGCTGAAAATAGATGAAGCAGGTGAGTTGCCCAGCAGGCAGGCCAGCCAGCTGTGAGAAATGGTCTGTTTCTGCATACAAATCACAGTTAAATAGAAAATAGGCACAACTGCCCTTCTAGGAGGATGGAGATCTGCCCACAGCCATTCCAATCATGGTTACTTCCTGCCCTAGGCTCTGTGCTTCCCTCCACTCGTATCCTTTGAATCCTGCAGCACTTTTTGCACATGGAAAGGTCTTTAATGGGTGCACAGACTGACCCCCTCACACACACTCTCATACATCTGTGTATCTATATCCAACTTTACAGGCTGATGGTAGGGCCAATCCAAAGAGATGGAAGCCATTCAACTCTCTATGACTGAAGAAGGAACTGGGTTCCTTCTAATAATAATCTAACCACTAAATTATTATATAAAAAGAGAGGTAGCATCTTCCCACTGCTGTATTTAAGGAAAAAAAGAGATACCCCTTTTCAGCTATCTGAAGGAAAGGAGGAAGGTGCCTGTTCTCAGAAAACAGCTTCAAGCAGTCCATCCCAAGAGGAAAGAAAACAGGAAAGTGTCAGGTTAGTCTGTGTTTCCTTTTAACTGGTCTAGCCACTTGCATGCTGCAGGGCATTGATTCAAAAGCTCCCTGTTGAGACTGGCATCTAGTCAACAGCCTGTCTTCTGACATGCCTCATCCTCCCACGCAACACGAACAGAACCTACAAGGTTTTGCCCATGTATTATACTGTGTTTTGCAGTGCCAGGCCATACAAGTTAGATGCTGTATCATTTAGCATTTTTAATGATCTTAAACACTGCTGCACACACAGCACACAGAATCACTGAGGTCGGAAGGGACCTGTGTTGGTCATCTGGCCCAAACCCTGTCTTAATCAGGGCCACCTAGAGCCAGTTGCCTAGAACTGTGTCCAGATGGGGGCAGGATCACCTCCCCTGACCTGTTGGAAATACTTTAATGTAGCCAAGGATAACTTTAGCCTCTTTGCTGCAAAGGGACATTGCTGGCTCATGGTCAACTTGGTGTCCACCAGGACACCCCAGTCCTTTTCTGTTAAGCCACTATCCAGTTGGATTCTCCCCAGCATGTACTGGCACTAGGGTTGTTCCTCCCCACTTGCAGGACTTTGCCCTTCAGTTTGCTGAACTTCATGAGTTTCTTGTCAGCCCATTTTTCCAGCCTGATGAGGTCCCTCTGAATGGTAGTATATCAGCCTCTGGTATATCAGCCACTCCTCCCGCTTTTGTGTCATCAGCAAACTTACTGAGGGTACACTCTGCCTCATCATCCAGATCATTAATGAAGACATTAAACAAGACAGACCTCTGGGGTATACCACTTGTTATTGGCCTCCAGCTGGACTTTGTGCCACTGATGACCTTCTCTGGGCCTGGTCATTCAACCATTTTTCTATCCAGCCCATACACCAAGAGCTTGTCTATGAGCATCTAATGGGAGACAGTGTCAAAGGCCTCACTAAAGTCTAGGTAGACATTATCCACTACTCTTACCCCCACCTACCCAGCCAGTCACTTCATCATAGAAATGTGTCAAGTTGGTTCAGCATGATTTCCCCTTGGTGAAGCCATGCTAACTACTCCCGACAGTTTTCTTGTTCCTAATGTGCCTGGAAATGGTTTCCAAAATTAGCTGCTCCTTCACCTTTCCAGGGATCAAAGTGAAGGTGACTAGCTTGTTGTTCTCTGGGTTCTCCTACCAGCTCTTCTTGAAGATAGGAGTAAAACTTGCTTTCCTCCTGTCTTCGGGCACTTCTCCCAGTTATCATGATCAATCCAAGATTATCCAGAGTGTCCTTTCAATGACATATGCCAGCTTAGTCAGCATTTGTGGGTGCATCCCATTAGGGCCCATGGACTTACGTAAGTCCAGTTAGCCTAAGTATCCCATGACCTGATCCTTTTCCACCGAGGGTCCAGCTCATTCAAGTCTTTTTCCCTGGTCTCTGGAACCTAGGATTCCCAAACATCAGTCTTGCTAGTAAATTAAGAGTGAGGCAAAATAGGCATGTAGTACTTCAGCCCTTTCCATAATCCAGCCTTTTTTTTTCCTTTTCCTTTTTTTTCTTTTTTCCTAGGGAAAAAGGAGTGTAGAGCCACTCAAGCACTGCTTGTTTGCCTGTAAGAGTATTCTGGTCACATTACAGGATAGCTGCACAAAAAAGGCATGATAGCCAAATCTGAATTTGGTACTGATAGCCAAACTATGTAATACTTAAAGCGGGTATATGAACGATGAGGATTTGTTATAGGAGTTCTGCTGCTGTAACAGGACAGTTAAGCATGTGCCCTGTAACAGCTAACATTTGCTCCCAGTAACATGGAGTCAGGTAAGAATTGCTTAACTGACACCAAACGTTAATGGGTTAGTAAGCGACAAGTTTGTGCATTCATGTAACTTTTAAGATACTTAGAGTGAACTTTCGTGATAATCTTTGTATTGCATTCTAACTATAAGTGTAGTAAATTGTACTGACCGCCAACCCACCTGTACTTATTAAATATTTTATATACCTAAATTTACTGATTAGAACTCAATAAACTACTGTATCAGATCGGTCTGAGTGATCTTCTCCTGCAGTAGATTTTTATACTGAACATTTGTTATCATAGTTCTAGTATTACTCTACAATTTTTTCCTTAAGTTTATGCACAAACAATAGGGAATGTAAATCAGAGTGTGAGATTAGCAATGGCTCTTAAGCCATGATTTTTAACAACTCTAACTTCAGAGATAGCTTTGAAGACAGTTACTGTGGAAATACATAAAGAAAGCAAATACAGAAGCTTAGGCGCTTTTTTCCCCGCTATGAGTATAGTAACATATGGTCCTTTTATAGTGATACTCACAGTTGTCACCTTCTGAGAGAATCATCAGGATCATTTGTATTATAGTAACTTTTGCTAGAAGTATCCTATTGTTCTTCACCTACTTATTCTTCCAAAAATTCACATTCATTAGTACTTTAGGAATACAGTAATCAATTTCAAAACTAGAAAAATCTTTCTGGGGTTAAAACTACCCATAACTGAATGACTGAAATGGCAAAGAATGCTCTTTTCCTTTTCTTACCAATCTCACATGCTTCTCAGCAAAGTTTCTGATTTCTGAGTTTCTGATTCTGACAGTTCTATTATCTCCAAAGGGACTGCATTACCTCCACTAGTTATGACCATCCTTTGACTACTTTGTGCAAAATTAAAGAAAAACTGATTATCAAAGGTTTTTATAACTGCTGCAGTTCCTAGGCCAGATGCACAGTTCCAACACAATGACAGCAGAAGCAGCAGATAGATGTCTGCCCTGGCAGTGCTCTCCTGTTTGAGACTGAACTTCTTAGGGTATCCCAGTCCAGCAAATTTCTCCTCACCCACCCATGGCTGCCATGAACAGTCAGTATATACAGTGTGTGTGTATACTCAGAGAAAACACAATGGATGACAAATCTCTGAGCCAGGGATTATCAAGGCATTTCATGAAGGAAATCTAAAGGCTAATGTTTCTCCCTTAAATTCAATATGAGTACTAACGGAGACTAACTCAAATCTAGAAATTTAATTTGAAATGTGATATAAACAGGAGAAGAACATATTGAATGATGATAAACAGTGCCTTTGAGTGCACTACTTTGTATAAATCTAGGTGTCTGTATCTAATAATTAATAGCTCATCATGAACTATAAACCACTGAACCGATAAATTAGTCTTTTGTACAGTATTTGCAATGCCTTTCTGAAGTCCAATTACGAAAGTGCTTCCCCTTCCCAATTAATCTGGGTTGTTACTTTCTTAAAAGTTGAGATATTTTATGCATGGTTTCCCTTTTGTAAAACCATGCTGAATATCTAAGCAGTAAGACACAATGGATTATGCAGCAGTATAAATAATGCAGATCTTGAGTGTTAATTGAAGCATGAGGCAAGGCAGAGTCATGGCCTGAACTTTCAATTGCTATTTGTCAAAGTAATTCCAATTGACCTCAACAGGATGGTGCACGTGAGTTCAAAATACTCCTGTTGGTAAACATTGAGAGGTTAGCTTAGGTCCTTATCACTCCAGTAAGTCTGAAGCAGCTTTTTTTTTTTTTCAGAAATGCTGGTGTTTTTCTTTTCAGCATTATTGTTAAAGAAAATTAATTAAAATATTTTAGATAAACCTAAAATCTTCCTCTAAAAATATTGGTTTACTCAGACTATTATAATCTTGAACAAAATTTACCATTGCAATTTTGTTTCATAGGTACTTAATACACACTACATTTTTCTTTATTTTTCCCTTTTCCCCACTGATATTTAAGCCTCAGCCTTTGACTGAGATATGGACGAATGGTTCTTTCTTCAACATTCCCCCTTCCTTGTCTGACTCTATTATGAAAAAACAAAACCAGAAGAATTAAGTATCTCCCAGTTGTGCTTTCCGACAGAAAATTAAAGTATTGCAAACAGATTACTAGGCCACAGGAGGCACATTGTGGGATATATGATGACAGCAGGGCTTTGAAATTCAAATATAGCTCTTTTTCTTTGAAATCCTGCCATGGGTGTAGCTGTCTCAGCACTGCCCTGAAGCTGAAACAGCTGCTTTAGTTTCCTTTTACAGTGATTTACTAATAATTTGGTTGGAAGACGAGTGGTTCAATTCTATAATTTAGTAAAAAGTGAACAAAAAGGTCCACTGTACTTGGGAGTTTCCAGAACAGCTTTTGATAACTCAGAATAGGACATAATCACAAGAATTTTAAGAACTGCACTTTCTGTGGCTATGATGCTTCTCTTAGATGTGCTGACAGATGCACTGTACTGGAGCATCCAATCATCTTGCACTTAAAGATTTAAGGTGGATAAAACTTCAGCTTTTCTCAGCAGTGAAACTGACCCTTCTCATAAGGCTGAGATACTCACTTGTTTATTTCCAGTCTTCTTTCCTTTTTTTTTCCTCCCTACTGAGTTTAAGTGGGTAATTTAATTAAAGTCTTTAATTTTTACTGAGTTTCCTTCAACAAGACTCTGTGTACTGATTCCTCAAGGCCAGCCAGCCAATATATGCTGCCTTTGTACTTGGGAAATTTGGTGGCATCCTGCAGCTGCTTCCAGAAACCCCGATTTACTGCTACCCTGCAAGAATGCAGAATACATCATTGCTTTTCTGGAAAATATACTTGTCTGTCATTTGAACAGAATGTCCTACAGCTTTGACAAGGAAGTAGTGCAAGGCAAAGGTGACTCTCATAGCCAGGTGAAAAGGATTTTATTAGTCAGGAGGCCTGAAATAAGAGTTAAACTACCAGGAAAGCAGGATAAAAATCTCCTCCAAACAAACAAACAAAAAGTGAATGGCAAATAGCAAAGGAAGAGGAGACCACCAAAAACCCAGAAAGGAAAGTGAAAGACAAGTACCGAACTTCTATGATAAGGCATGCACTATGATATATTTATGTATAAATATACACAATACAAAACTACATTGCTACTTTACTGATTTCCTGTCAAACCATTGTTTGATGAGGTGGTTAATGTCAGCTTACATAAAGTATTTAACCAATAGAAACTTGTCATTTTAAATCTCAGGCTAGAGATCTCAACTTACTGTCAGAGACTGAAATGGTTAATGATTTATGCATTCCAGGAGTTTGCAGGCTTTTGACTTTTGCATTATACCTCTTATGGGCAGTTGGGCCTGCCCCTCCCTCCAGTGAAGAGCCGAGCTTGCAGGCTTTTGACTTTTGCCTTACACTTCTCTTGGGCAATAGGGTCCATACCCCCCCCTGCCAATCTTGAAAGGCGGGAACCAGGCCAGAGTCAAAAACTCTGCACAGGCCCAGGGAGAGGTTAGAGGCTCAAGACATGGCCCGTCACACTAACCATGGATATAATAACTTCTTTGAGTGTGAGGGCTTCCCTCCTTCACCCCCAGCAGATCAAGGCCACCACTTCAACTGACGGACATGGAAGCGGCAACTACCAAGTGTCATTGCTGGACCCCGTGGGCGGTGACTATATGCATCTTTCCACTCTCATATTTTCTTTCCCTTACTCTCCCTTACCCTTATCCTGTCTTTCCTTTCTCTCCCTTATGCATTTTCCCACCCTGAAGTTATCCCTATGCCATATTGCTATAAATGCTATAGATGACAACACCCAAAATGCTAGCATGCCTGTTGATACAAAATTGTTGAAATAAACCTTACCAATATATGTTTTCAGACACCGATTATTCAGTGTCGTTTCACTCTAATCCACCCCAAGGGAATTATTGATAAAAACCTGGGTTACCCCCCCCTCCCCTTTTCCTAGGGCGGGTCGTAACACTTACATTTAATTAGGATTCATGAAACAGGTTATTTGCTAAATAAACAATTAAGTTTAATCTTGCTTGTATACCAAATACTTCGAATGTATCTATTGAGGGTTCTCATTTACCTGTTGCTGTTTCCTAGATTTGACTGTAGACAATCCTTCTCCATTTTCCAAACTGGGTGACATTGCTTCATCAACAGACTTAACTCCTAAACTTCTGAAAGTGACACTGTCATACTTTAAACAGGTAAGCAGAGACGACTATTTTAGAGTACATTGTCTCTCATGAGCCAACAGGGCAGATTGTCTGTTTTTACACTACCGTTTTGTGAATGAGGAAGGATAAAGCTAGAAGAACCAAGCGTGACTTTGCGGCACAGGGCATACTGAGTGCACACCCTGCAGTGTCCTCCAGCAAGTCCTTCCCAAGTCAAGTTGTGCTATATATAGTGGCTACCTTGTGTTTGTCATACAGCATTGCCCGTGTAAGGACAATTAAGTGACTCAATTACCAATTCAGGCCTGCTTTTTTTATCCAGGTACACAGCAACAGCCGTTCCACTGCCTTAGGGGTTCCTTTTCTTTGACACCTACTTGGCGCAAGCTGTTTGCCAGGTAGCTGCTGACACATTCAGTCAGTTTTGCTGCTGCAGCTTCTTAATAATGAAGCCTGGAAGGCTCAAACATACACTAAGCTGCAAATCCCGCAGTGTATTGCAAATCCTGCAAACCCTACAAGTGCTCTGTATATCCACAGATGTGAGGACTTGATCTTTTATGTCACATTCAGGACTCCTAGAGAACATTAGAGTTGCAGTGGGCACCAAAGGAGTGATCTAGCAGACATGACTGCCACAGAAACACAAGGGTAAAAATTACACCCCAGCAATGGCTTTGTGAAAGGGACAAATGTCACAGCTTTGTTACTACCACTTGATCTCCACAAAGATACTTACCAGCAGAACACTAGACAGAACAAAATGGAGTATGCTTACACATTTTAGTGCTCTCAAACACGTTAGGGGCACATTTTGTTGTTCCACTTTCATGAACCACAGTATTTTTACCACATATTTTATAATTTAGTATTACCTGTCAGGTAAAAACTACTCAAATACAGGCTCTTCACTTATATTTGAAAAAACCCAACCTGATATTCTTCATATTTTCTTATTCATGCTCCTGTGAGGTGATTAAGAACCTTACTTGCTATGGGAACGCCATTTGCTAACCAGCTTATACTGGGCTTTGGGTTGCCATTAGCTCTGCAGATCAATGTTCCATCTTCTCCAGGAGACAAGACCAGGTTTCTGGGTGCTGTTATCCAGTATGGGGCAGCTGGTTTTAAGAAGAGAAAGACAGCAATCATTTTCCAAAATTATGTATAGAAAGCCATAAGGCACAGGTACAGTAACCAGAAGATAATTCAAACAAGGTATGTGTAGATACAGACTTACACCTATGCTGTTACTTTATATATATATGTACGTATCTCTCTCTCTATGTGATACCCAAGGGTTAACTGGTAGATTATACATTGGCTAAACTGAGCTACTGGCTACCTATTGCATCAAAATTCTGATACAAACAACAAGTGCTGTCTTTCACTTAGGGTTGCCGGCTTTGAATCTAACTTGCCTTTCCTAAAGCAAGCAAAATTTATCTGAGTATGGCATCTGCAGAGACTGCAGTGGTATTTTGATTAATTTCAGAGATAGCCATGCTCACAATAGTTAGGCTGTTAGGAATGAATTTAGGTTTGATTATATAAAAAGATTTCGTGTCAAGGGTGAAATTTAGAAATGGAAAAACCCTTGGTCTCAATAAATTAAATGGATGATTGCAGTGGGGTCAGATGTTTACCTGAGAAAGATGAAAACACACTGAGATCAAAATGGGTGGAACACTGCCCCTAATAAAAAATATCCAACTATTTCTCCATTCTTTTTACAATAAATAACAACAAAAAGCATATGTTATCACATCTTGCAATGAAATTTCAGACTTTGGATTGATGGACAGATGCAAACAGAAAATTAAACTTCTCTTAAAAAGGAGGTTCAATGTGATCATAAAATGATGCTGATCTACAACACAATAAAGGGCTATTTAGCATGCAAAGTAAGCACTACAACTGATTATTTCAATGACTAATTAGCTGCCATTACAGGTTTTTGTTTCATGGTATTCACAACATACTTACAATTCCTGTTTAGACAAACATTGTAAATGTTTTTAGAACTAGTAAGGCATCATCTTGAGTAAAAAAACATGAAGATAGAAACTCAGAAATGTCAGTCAAGAGAGAAAAAGGAAGAATATAAGACTGTAAGATGATAGTAAAATAGAAAAGAAAGAATCTGGGCTATATGAATGGTGTGCAGAAAACATGAAGAAAATAAGAAAGAGATGATGAGAATGGGGAGAAAAATATAAAAACAAGAGAAAAAGCAGTCTAATGACAGAAAATCAAAGGATCTAAAATAAATGTAGTACTGGTGCAAACTAATAAATTATCTTACTACTGTTACAATACAATATCAATTTAGTCTGATGCTTTATAAAAGAACATTAAAAAATGAAAAAGATATTAGAGATAGTCCTTCCAGTACTAGAATTCAGATGGTTTAATGATTGTTTCCTCAGAGTATTTTTTAACCATTATCATTTATCCTTCCAGGTGTACTTCATCCTAGAAAGCCTACTTCAGTCTTGTATTCTGGATACTCGACAACATTACGTTAATAATAATTTTAGTATTACCTTTCACGGTTACTGAAATGACATGATGAACTGAACCCAGTGTATTTCTTGCTATACATTTGTAGTTCCCAGAGTCAGCTTCAGAAACATCTATAATCTTGAGAGTTTTCTTAAAGTTTTCAAAAAATGTTCTGTTGGCTGGCAGTTCCCCACCCTCTTTAATCCAGCGGATTACCGGTGTGGGTCTGGAGAAGCAAAAGCACAGACCAAATTTAGGGATTGAAGAAAAGGAAGATAAGAGTTCAATACATTAATTTTTTTTAACATATGTTTTGGTAAAGTTTTGTTAAAGCCTGGAGAAGAGGAGACTGAGGGGAGACCTCATTGCAGTCTACAACTTCCTCATGAGGGGAAAAGGAGGGGTAGATACTGATCTCTTCTCTGTGATGACCAGGGACAGGCCAAGGGAATGGCCTGAAATTGTGTCAGGGAGGTTTAGGTTGGTGATTAGAAGAAGGTTCTTCACCTAGAGGGTGGTTGGGTGATGGAACAGGCTCCCCAGGGAAGTGGTTACAGCACCAAGTCTGACAGAGTTCAAAAAGTATTTGGATGATACTCTCAGGCACATGGTGTGACTGTTGAGAATGGTCCTGTGCAGGGCTAGGGGTTGGACTTGATGATTCTTAGGGGCCCCTTCCAACTCAGCATATTCTGTGATTCTGTGATTTCGAGAGCCTTTACCCAGATTCAGGGGTTCATGCAACAAATATGAAAAATATGCCAGCATTTGTTTCTAGGAAATTACAAGCTTCACTAGCACTGTCAATAGCCATGTGTTCATAGGATTAATAATTACAGAATACATTTGTCTGCTGATTAATTTAAGATACCTGATGGTTGATAAATGAAGACAAGTTTCAAATCTCATTGTGCTTCTACTATTAAATTGATGCTTATGGTGCTTTTAAAGGTAGCTTCTAGATAATGACAAGTTTATAATTGTCCTTAGTGTGAGCAATATCCTAATGCTTCATGAACATCATAAATTTTACAGCAGAGCTGTAAGCAGAGAGAAATATTTCTTATGAGAAATGAAGAAAAAAATGTCAGTGCTGAGTCAAGTATAGCTACTTGTCACTGCACCATGTCTAAACCTTGGCTATGCCCCAAGTTGTTCACTGAAGCTGAAAAGTTGTTCAAACACATGGAGATATATTTTTAAAATTACAAGAAATTAGAAGGTGTTGCTTGCTGAGTAGAATGTCCTTTCCCAAATAGTAATGACTCTAGGCAAATAGTCCCTTAGCAGCCTAATATCACAGATTTTATAACACAGACACTTATTTATGGTGTCCATAATTAGGAATAGTTGTTTTAAAAAAAAATCTGCATCTGACCCTTTGTGGACAAGTATTCTCTTAGTGAATTTTTTTTTTTAAATTACATGACAGCTAAAGACACTAACCTATATAATACTCTATATTTTTCACGTGTTTTATCCAGCTATTTTACCTGTGTTTGAATCACCAAATACTTTTATTGCAGGGTTGTCAAAAAGCATGTAACCATATTGCAGACAAAGATTACCTGAGTTGATGCTACTCCCACTCACAGTCATGGTTTTGCTGGTGCTGCTGGTGCTGTTGGTGCAAACACCTGAGCAGACCACAGCTGAGACAAAAACAATGCACCGATGCTCCTATCAAGCTGTGTCAAGTGTGCATGAGAAGCCCTCTGGAGCTTATGCAAGTGAACACATGTGCATGATGCTGTGGTGCATGATTTACAGTTATTGGCTTTTCTCATGGCTAAGTCAGAGCCCTCTGCATTATATGCCTTTGTGCACTGTAAGCACATTTACAGTTCCTGAAACAGGTACTGAGGATTTTCTATTTCTAAGCAATCTATTCTCAGATTTCTTCCTGAGAATGAAACTAACTTAAGATCAACCTAATTAATGAAGTTAAATTGCTCTTTAGTAATTTTCTTCTTGCCCAATAACCAGCAGAAGCAAACTTGCATTGCATTGAAGAAACAAGTACCAATTAAACTCAATTACAATGAGAAATTTGATGTAAGAAGCTGAAGATATGTTCTAACAACTCCCACCTAGCTGATCTACTAAGTAATTACTAGCATATATAAGAAGCTTTCTCAGATTAGAACAGCAAATTCGTGTCTGTTTTTATATAATTTGAGAGCCTAATGATTGCAAACTTAGGAAAAAACAGAGGCTTTATTCCTGAGTGCAATTCTTCGGATATTTGCCTGACTTCACCCTATGGCATTTCTTGCTTGTGTCCTTTAAAATCAACAGTATAACCCGTATCCTGTGCATAGGGTTTGGGAATCTGAGAAGGCAGAGGCCATACATATGTTCATAATCAGTTTTAAAGTCTGCTGATCCCCAAGTAAATGCAGGATTTCCTCAATACGGCTCTTTCCATTCTACACTTCTGCTTCTTTGAAACACACAAGCTTATACAGTGGTAACATTTTAAGTATCTCTGAAAGGTTTCCCTCTGTTTCTGTATTTCTATTTAGAAAAAAAAACCTATCTAAAAAGTAACTCACAATCCTGCTGCAATGCACTCCAACAAAAGCACATTTCCTCTGAGTTCCACTTTAGTACTCGTGCTACCTGTTGGTGTTAGAAGAACTGGCTGCCTCTCTGTAGCTGGCTTTGCTGAAACAAGAAAAATTCAAATAATTAATTTCTATTTTTTCTCTCAATGCTGATCAAATGCATACATCCATTCTCACATTTTGGACAGATTTTGCTCTACATTGGCCATTTAAGTCATTGTGTAACACAACTACAGAGCTCAACACATTAGGTTTTGACAGACATAACATATCTGTTAAATGCCACAATTTTGAACACATACATGAAAAATGTTATTATTAAAGACAGGAGCAACCAATACAAAGCTTTTACATAGACAACTATGCAGCCTTAATCCTAAGCAGCCCCTATTCACTTCAGCAGAATTATTATGGGGAGTAATAAGCCACTAGTGTGAGGCACAGTGCAAGACTCAAAGTCACCAAAAATTTCTGGGCTTCCAGAAAAATAAAAATAAAGCAAAGTTATTTTACTCAAAAATATAAACCAAGGGGATGAAAGTATGCCCTGTTTTGCAGTATGTTTTAATACTTTCTAGACAAGGTGAGATGTGGTTTCAGAAGCCTTGGATTTTCCTCTTACTGTGTATTTAACTTTAATTCAAGCTTTTCCCCAGTCTTGTAATAAAGAACCATTGATTAACCTGTAAGAAATAACTACAGTAAATAGGCAGCTATAAATATAAGACCAATTTCTGACATTATACTCTGTTGGCTTTTGAAGTATTATAGAATTTCCTGTGCCTTTACTGAAGTCAAAATAAGAGTTTTTTCTGTAATTATAGTGTGTTTTCTGAGCATCCTCTAATTTTCTCTTACAGCAATATAATATATAGGATTAAATTGCTCTGAAGTGTAGTAGCAGTCTGAAACATTACAGTAATTTTTATTTTTTTTAAATGTGATTAGAAACACAATAAACTCTAAGTTTGTTAGGGTACAGGATTTACTGACAGATTAACATAAATATGATTTTAAATACAGTATGTGCTGTGAATTTCTTAAAAACTAGTACACAACTTAACATTGTTGAGAGAAAGGGGAAGTCTAGAGTCAAGAATGCAGCTGATAGTCACAGCAACAACTAATCTATCTCATATTTTGAGACCATGAAAATTCAGAAGAATTACCCCGGTGTTTCTGAGTTGTGAGTCAATCGAACAGTATTTTCCTAACTAATTCTAGTTAATGTATTGTTTTGTATTCAAGTATTTATTCCTTGTTTGTTCCTCCTGAATAATAATATAAGTTTTATGTAGAGAAGTAAAATTTCTGTGCCCATGTTTTATTTTGGATTTACATAAGTTATGGTTTAATATGTACAGAGCCCCATTTGACAAGGAAAAAGACAAAATAGAGTAAGTTATCAATTATTTTCTACATCACACAATATCAAGTGGAGAGTCTAGAACCTCAAGTGTTACAGAATCAGTGGTGCTCCAAAGTCAGTCTCGCTAAACATACATAGGCCTGTTTGGGAGGATTTAAGTCACAATATGCAAAAGACAATTCAACATAAATTAATGGGAAGACCAGCTTAAACACCAAGCAAACAAAAGTCATCTTACCCCTACACAGTTATTTATACAGATAGTATTAAAGTGTTCAGATTTTTATTAATTCCAGTTTCACACTTATGAATTAAGATAAAAATAAATGGTACATATAAAAAGATATTAAATGTGAAGCGCATCTGTTAAATGCTTAATTGTTGTTATTTGTTATGCAACACATGATATTGAATAGTCCTAGTGATAATGAACTATCAAACTACTTGGTTAATTGGAGGAAAAATAAGAAAAAGCAACATAGTATACAAGCAATCAAATAGACCATTTTTAAAATCTGCCCCAGTGTGAAAGGACATTTATAATAAGCATTTACATTTTTTATGAGCCATATGTTACAATAACATTGAAAAATTAAATATTTGAAAGGATCACACTGTGCAGTCCCTTCCTAAAGTATGTATTATCACCAGCACTAATTGATACCTTTATTAGAAACTGAAAAGAGAGTAAAAGGTTAAGTAGCCATGGAGGTGAGGTTAGTTAACTAAATGCTACTGTGAAACAGGGAGTATCAGTGGGGACCAGTGTAACTCACCACCATAAATATCAGTGTCACTCAAATTAGCAGCTATAGTGTCATTCAATGAATCCACTGAAATAAACAGAATATCATGAAGAAAGCATACAAAAGGGATAAATAAAAGTTCTGGGAAACAAAAGGTGATGATATGGCCATGGTGAGTTAATCAAATGATTGATTAATTTGTTTCAATAGTTACAATATTCATAATACCTTTATATTATTGCATTGGAAAACCATCTGAAAACTTATTTTTTACATGGTATTTTTTCTATATTTCAAATCTTACAAGACATTTTTTCAGAAGACAAAGCCTTATAAAGAGAAAAATGACAGCTTTTAAAATGTCAAGAAAACAGGAGATTACATTGCCCAAGTTTATACAGTAGGACAATTTCTTATTTAGAATTAAAATGACAACATTCCCTAGTGTAACACTACTTAAATTCATCATGTAACTTGAGAACTCTGGATAAATACTACGTAAGTATGTAATTAGGTAATGTAATACCTACTTGAAAAGACTTTTACAGAAATGGGTTGTTTCTGCTGTATAGTTTGTGTATGATTAAATCTTGCATAGCAGATATAGTCCTCCCGGGTGTCTTCTGGTTGTACATTAGAAAAATAAAGATCTCCATTTAGACCTTGGGAAACTCTTTCACTTTGAGGCAGCCTTTGGAAAGCTAAGGGAAAACAAGGACACATTTATCACAATTATAATACACACTCCATTATTATGATCTGCAGACTCCACATTTGCTCAATTACACTGTTTGTGGCTTTGTACATACAGACAGTTTTAAGTTTCCCAGCAAGTTCCCCTGTCTTCCCATTCTTCCCCAGTGGGTTAATCTACAACTTACATGAAGATCTCCAGCTGCTTTTGACTTCATGCTTTTGGGCTGTATGTCTGCTTGTTTCTTCATTTCTATAGAAATGGAAATTCTCTGAATTTTAACTTAAAGGGAAACTCCACCATCTGGTCTTGGTAAGTAAACAATGATCTACTATGCAGAAAAACTGCAAAAAGTAAACTACTTCTGCATAAAAACCAAACTCACCATTATCCATCCAAAATATTATAGGTGGTGGTAAGCCAACAGGAGGTCTGCAGTGCAGTACTAGTGAATCACCTTCGCGAACCTGATTTGGTTCTAGTTTTTCTTTGGTCCACAAAGGCGATCCTACAAAAAGTAATTTTAACACACACACAAACTATGGATTGACAAAACCTCCAAAATTTATGGGAAAATGCACATAATATTCCAGAAAAACAGAAGAACAACATGCATTGGAATGTTAAGTCCTGTCACATTTAATAAAGATTTCATTTTTGTTATTTTTTATGTTTTCTGGAAGAAAAGTGCAGTATTGATTTGCCAAAAGTATAATCAACTGATTAAAATAATTTTGCCTTCTCACAAAAGGTTTTATATCAGTATCTTGAAAAGTTTTAACTACAATAATGAAAAAAAAAGTGATGTGCTAAATTAGAAGGAGTAGGCCTTCTTGAAACAATATTATACACACAGTTTTATTAAAACGTAAGAACAGCACATTTTAAGCTGAGAAGCTTGAAAAACTAATCTGAGATTAAAAAGCACATAAAAAGCTGTAAAAACAGTCTACCATTAATAATAATTTTTAAGCCTTATCTTCTTTTTAGTCCCAATCTGTTCTGTAGTAAAGCTATTACAAAAACTGTGGAATATAGGCTTTGTAAAAAGAATAAAAATTCTCATCAGCAATGATGTGCACTAAGGATTTAAATATTTTATTTTAATAGTAGTGTCATATATACAACTCAGTTTTAAATATGATAGGTCATCTAGATGTACTTAGAAAAAAACCCGTTATTAAATTTTCTAAAAAAATATTTGAGAGAACATGCAATACAGTATTAAATCTAAGTATCAGAAAAGAGACAGTAACTTCTAACATAATCATTTTGATGATTACATTTTTAAGACAGGAAAACAAAAAGGCAAAAAGTTCATAAAAAAATAAGAAAACCAAAGTGTTTCACATTTTCTGAAAATTAAGAGCTTTTACTTACTAGAAGGCCTTATAACAATATTGTTGGAAATGGCTGCTCCTCGTTCATTCCTTGCTGTACACTGGTATACTCCTTCATATGCTTCTGCCTTCCCACCATTCATAATATTTATGACAAGGGTCCCTGAATTTGGTTTCATTGTTACCTGTGCATCTTTATCTATATCAAAATGAGTTCCATTTCGTGTCCAGGAGAAGCTAAAATAATAAAAACAAAAAGAAAAGTTTATTCTTCAGCTGCCTTTTGTAGATTGTATGAAAAGAAGAAAAAAGTAGTTAACAAAAAATGCATGTTATTTCTTCTTTAGCAGATAAGTAAGACTTCTTCCCAAACTAAATGAGCTAATAATGTAATACAGTACTTTTAATATGAGAAATCGGGCAATGTTTTAAGATAAAAGGTTTTGGCTGAACTTGTTAACAGGAGCCATTTCAAAGTCAATGCTTTTTTTTAAAAAAAATACATTACAGGATTCTGAGGTTAATCACACATGGAAAAGAACTGATTTTGTTTCTGATAAAAATGATGCAGTAACATCTGCAAGAACTGATATTGCTAAAGCTGCATTAGCATTTCCATTATAAAACCTATTGTTGGAAGCGTCTGTAAACCTGTCTTTAAAAACTTGCTCTGGGCTGAAATGTGTCATCTCAGGCCCCAACAGAAGACCATTTCTTTTAATTGGTTTGGTACTTTTGAAGTTATGTAAATGAATTAAAGACTATGTGGTGAGTTTGATTTCTTTTCACTATTATAACACAACCAACCATGACTCTTTAAACGAAATTATATAGTCTGATAGCTAATAATTAATCTAGTAAATTTATACTGGTGCTACTCAAAGCAAGTGACGTTTTGAAAAGTAGTCACTAAAAATGAAGACTAACAGAACTCACAAAAAATTTGTAAAGAAGCAGAGATTCACAGTCTGCAACTTAGACTACTGTAAACACCAATTTCTTATATATGCTCTGTTAATGGTCAAAAGTATAGTCATAGAAAATTAGACCAACGTCTGTGAAGTGCTGAGTGCTCACAGGTTCAAATGCTGTAAAAGAGCAGCTTTCATACTTGTTACACTTTTGCTTCAGAATCTTAAGCACAGTCTATGTGCTTACTGGTTAGAATGCTTCCTAAAATAGAAACTTAAATGGTACTGGAAAAGCTGAAATTCTAAGGGACTCACACTGTACACTGACCTTCTGCAGCATGCTGACATGCTATTTGCACTTTGTGGTGTGAGACAGAAGAACCAAACCTGACCAGCTGCGCTGCACCACATTGCAGTGTTTCTGGGAGGACTAGAAGGCACAGCGACCCAACAGCAAATCTCTTTCTTACAACCTTGTGAATGAAGCTTCAGAAAGTGGCGTTTCTGTAATCCTCTGCTACTGATAACTGAAGGATGCAGGAAATTGTAATGTAGCTTCAATTGAGAGGTAGCATATGTGGTACAAACCCCTGAATTTGAGATACAGGAAAGTCAGAGTCTTTGCTGCTCAAGCAGCACATCCATAAACCTTTATGCAGATGCTCTGACCAATAAGAAGTTGCCTTGTTCTAACAAACAATTCACAGCGTGGGCTGAGAAAGTTCATCTTCAACTTCAGAGCTTTTGAGCAGATCAAGTGCCAATATGCATTTGCAGGTTATCAGGACTGATGGACCAGACTAACTATTGATATAAATTTATTGGATGTCATATCTTGAAAAATAAGGAAGACTAAGCACAAGCTTGTAAAACTCATGAGAAAATTCTGTACTTAAATCCTGTCACTTCCTCTGTAGTCGGGGAACAAAGCCAGTTACAGGGGGAAAATGAGGATGTACAGCAGAGAGCATTAGCACACAGCTCAGGTTAGTTAGTCTCACAGACAGCACCCTTTTTCTCTCAGGTAATTCCAATCAAAAAAGACATGCTAGAGAAACATCTGCAGAAGCAATACGGTTGTCCCAAAGTGCACAATAATAATCTGATCCTTCAGGTCAATACCCAGACTCTTAAAAATGGCATTGGGCCAGCTAAATTAAAGTGCTGGTAAACACAGCAGCTCAGTGGCACTCCTATCATTAATAGAACACTAGAAAGGGTAAGAATATCCCAGATAATCTCTATCTTCCCCATTCTGCTGCCCAGCATGATAATGACCAGGATGCCACGGCAACCAGCAGGAATAATGTACCAAAAAGCCTGGTTATCCAGAAGAAGTACATTTAATGAGCTCTATTTGTATCTGAATGAACAGTTATAGACTGACCTTACTAGTAAGTTGTAGCATAACACTGCTGAGCACAGAGAGATGCACATTTCTATGTTCATGGTCTCTGAAATCAGAGGCAGATACTAACAGTGCCAGAATGTATCATGGCTATTGCTGTTTCCAGTACAGGTACTCAGTATCTTGAAATGAATAGTTTTAAGTATTTAAAGACCCTGAAAGAGGACCTTACATTTAAAGAGGACCTTAAAATGGACAAAGATCAGGAATCTGATCCACGTAGAGGGCTACCATTTCTGTCAAAACTGAAACTTAAGCCTATTAAATACTCTTGGTAAATCAAGGCTACTGAACATTAAAACTGATACACATTATATTCTGACAAAATGTATTTCAAGATGAGCCTCAAAAACCAGAATGATTTACAAAACATTAAATGTGAATTTATTAGTGTTACTCTGAATTCATTCAACGTCCATTGTTCTTAAATAAAATGCTTAAATCTGGAATGTGATCCAGTTCATAATACGGCATGCCTCTTAGGGTGTTCCATGGGCATTTACCTAATAATTGTTTATTATTTTATTGGTAGAGCTTTGAGAATAAAAATACCACAGTTGCTTGATGAATACAGAAAAGTTTAAATGTCAAGTATGAGAAGAGTCAAATTTACCGCTATTTGGTAACTGTTTAAATTACAGAGGTAGGGGTGCATGCATGTTTCTGCATGTGCAAGCATACTCATACACATAATGTTAGTTTACAAAAGTTACAGTATTTTCTCCTAGTTCTTCCATGCTGTTAAACCAACAAAAGCAAAAGAAAATGCTACCAACCTAGGAGGTGGCTTTCCTTTGGCTTCACACTGTATTACAATATTCTCTCGAGGGTCAACAATGTAATCTTTTGGAGATTGATGAGTTATCGTAGGAGGTTGCGACACTTCATTATGGAATATAAGAAAGAGAGACGAATTTAACATGCTTTCAAAGTATCACCAAACCAGTTTTGTAAACAGAGAAAGCAGAATTGTGATTAGCAACCAAATCAGTGACAGAAGAATGGGATTAAAGTATCCTTTGTATCAGGAGGCTGAAGTGCTCTACCCTTGTAAATCAGTGTAGCTATACTAACTTCCAACTGAGCTATCCTGATTTACTGTGGATGAAGATCTTGGCCAAAAAGTTTAATGTATGTCACTTCTATACCTCAGATTTCAACAGATTTCCACAAACCCAAAGGACACTTCAATTCTAAATCCAACAATCTGAAATGAAGAGTTGGAAGGAATAAACCTTCATAAAATGTTTTTTACTACACAGAAGGAAAGAAACACACATTGCTTTGTGTTTCTAAATATTTTTTTATTTCCAAATTCTCTATGGGTGTAACCCTTTTCATACATTTATTATGCTCAACATAATCTATAAAGCACACTTTTAGGAACTACTTTCCAGGAGTAAAAAATGTCTTAAAAGACTCTGTAAAAATGAAAAAAATAGTATCTACTTTCCAAATAAAGTAAACATGTAGGAAAAGTAAAGTACTGATTCCCCAATAAGGAACCCAATAAGAATTTAGTCAATCTTGTGAATTGCCCTGGAAGTAACAAACATTCCACATTTGTAATTTGTCAAGTACTCTAGAATGAGCAGCACAGAACAGAATTGATTCACCTGACACAGTAATTGGTGCCTACCTATTTAACATAATTTATAATCTTTTATCAATATCTATGCCAATTTTTGCATTAAAAATATCATGTCTGTGATATTATAATAATGGCCAGTCTTCGCGAACGAAGATTTTGGGAAAGGTCTTTTACCTTTCCAGCCTGCGCAATGGATTTTTTAGGTGAGACACAGCCTGCGCTGAACTGAGCCCACCCTTTAATCCTAAGGTTCATCTGCCGGGGCCAAGCAAGCTTGGACAATGGCAGTGAGGTCCTCAGGACGTAGGTTTGTTTAGAGTGACCTTCTCATAGATGGATGGCCTCACAGGGCTAACGGGCTCCATCTGCCCGGGGGACTGGCTGGGATTCGAACCTGGGTCGCAGAGGTGAGAGTCCTGCATGCTAACCACTAGGCCACCAGGGGTCCCGTCTGTGATATTAAGATAGTGAGAAAGGTGTCTTCCTCAACATTATTCATCTGTTTACAGTTTAGTATCATCTAAAGGAACCTGTTTAATAACATGCCCATTAACATCTCTGTCTGAATGTTGTAAATTGCCTGTCCAGCAATGCTACTGCTTTGGGGTAATTTCTAGCAACTTGAACAAAATATTTCAATCACTAGAGTTAGCTGTATTCTCATGCCTCTTTCTAGCCAGTTAAAATTGTAAAACTGGGATTTTTACTTAAAGTCTTCCCTACCATTATTTATTAAGTAGTCAGTTGCACAGCAGAGGTAGCCTTCTGTAAAACCCTACTGACAAGAAACAGCCAGGGAAAAAAAACATCAGATCATGAAATCATTAACAAAATACAGCAGCTAAGCAGAACAGAACAGGCCATGCAGAACTGGGTTTTGCTCCTCACTGCAGAGGGGAGAGTCCTTAAATGAGGGAGGAAGTATTTTTACATGATCATGCCTTTGTGTGTATTTCTTTAGAGGCACTTTGAAGACAGTCCTTTTCCCTCTCAGGGGCATATTTCAGGGTCAATACATGCCAGATGCTTACTTGGGAAAAGCAAGTACACTCTGAAAAGGGACATGACATGAACACCGCCCAACCCACAGGATATTCCATCTGATGCACATCAAAGACCTGAAATCTCCACTCCTGTGCTATGCACTGCACTTAAAACTGATTGAGTTAACCATGACACTAGAGCTTAGTTAGGAGAAGCTATAAAAATATGAGGTCTACTTAAATAACTGTATCCACTATGGATATAAAAGTATCTCCAACTCAGATATGTATAATAGTACAAAAGTACATATATTCCAATGAACTTATTTTTTATCAAATACTTTTACTCCTGAAAGTAGTCATAAAACACTGCACATGCTGATATTGAGTAAATATTTTAATGTTCGGATAGCACACCATCAAAAACCACACAATTAATTTATTCAGAATTTTAGAATGTTGATTTATGTACAGTAGTTTTTTTCTGAACACTGCATGCACAAAACATCTAGATACAGCAAACCAATCAGTATTACTTTACAGCAGCACACAGCCTAGTTTTAGTGAAGAGGAACTTACATTCTTCTAGAAGTTTTGCTTTTATTCCCACATCAGAATCAGCAGTTGAATGGACAAATGGAGATTAAAGAGAAACATTTGTTAGTGAAAAGAAAATTAGCAATTTTGAGAGGGAAGATAAGTATCTCTGACAAGTACATTGGTCACCATTAAAAAGTAAACATATAAAACATTTAGCACTGTAACCCATGCAGGAAGGCCTGAAATTCCAGCTACAGTTTTCATTGTGTCAGTTATTACTACATTTATCTCAAAGTTTATGGTATGAGAAACTTTTCTGAAGTGTTGACTTTTTAAGGGTAACCATGATATGTGATTTTGGTCTTGCAAGGACACAAAACACTAATACTGAGGAGACAGCAATTCAAAATTAGTGGAGTGCACTGCCCTCATGCTGCAGTCAAAATCAATCCACCCATATGATCACAAAGAAGAACAAAGAGAATGCTTCAGGTTAAAATTACTCTTGTAAAGACAGAAGCACCTAATTCTACTCAACAGACTTGCAAGCCCTTTTGGTTTGAAAAATAACTAAAACAAAAAAAAATCAGCTGTCACATCTTTATTGCTTACTTCAAATGTTTTGCATACACGTCTCTTTACCAATAATGTATTACAGCAGGTCAAATGCCTTTGGGTCACCTACATTTTCAGTCATCCCTTACCTGCTTTGAGGAGACACTGACTAGGAACTAATGAACTGCAAAGAATAGGAACTGCCAATCTGGATGAAACCTAAAGGTTCAAGTAATCAACTGTGTTCTCTGCAGTGAATATTTGTGGACGACCCACAGAAAATATATGTCCTTCCCTTGAGGTGTTCTCCCAGAGCCCATTCTCATCATTATTTATGAAAGCAATAACATCATTACAGATGCAATTTCTGTTAATATTAGTTTTGGCTAAAAATTCAAGTATGTGACTTTATCAGACCTAACAAAGTTATTAAGCATTAAGGAGTAGGGAATTGAATTCTCAGTAGAGAACTAAAATGATACATCTAAAAGAGCTACTCATTTTTGTCTTTTGATGCATTTCTGGTAAATTTAACCTGAAGTCTTGCTCTATAGATAAAGATATTAGAGTGGTGCACAATTTATATTAGTTCCTAAACTACAAGATGGGGGTTTAAAACACTATTTATAGACTGTAAAGATATTTATGCAGAAAAATTAAGTTTAGAAAATAAGACATTAATTCAAAAAACTTTTTAATCCCTCTTTAAACCGAAGCTTATTGCTCTAAAGACATTTAGAGCACAACAAGTTTGATGTGATTCAAATATATTGATCTTGTTACAGAAATACAGGTCACTGGTTTGATAGGCTTGTAAAATGCATGGGGGGGAACCCACCAAAGCCGTTGCAATTTATGTCAGTGAAATTATTAAAGAAAAACATGCATTGTGGAAGGCAGGAAGGTATCACAAACATGGAGGTAAAGAAAGTCATGCACATTAGAATCATAAGCAAATTTACTGATGTATTAATCCATCAATTTAACACCAGCCCTAATGTTCTCTTCCCTGGTAATTAGTTTAACAAATGAATAGTCACTATGAGGTGTAACTTGGTTCACTGAATCCTGAAAATGTGATCATGCTTATCTTAGAAAGAAAATAGCAACGTAAAGCATGAATAATTTAATAAAATCAGCTATTAGGACTATAAAATGCAGCATCTACAATTGTTTCCTTTTCAGCATGGAGTCCTACCTTCAAGGTTCCCCACTAACACAGTCTTATATTAGACAAGAACTTCAGATCTTGGGATTTCCTCTCTTTCGGATGTTTCCTCACATATCGATGCTAGAGTTCCCTGCTCAGCACATATTTTTAACTTAAAGTTAAGTATTTAACCATTTTCAGGCACTGCTTAGAAAATCTAAGAGCCTAATTTACCCTTTGGGATCAAAAAATAAGATGCTTTGAGTATCCGAATTTTAGGTATTTGAATCTTTTAGCAGTTCACGTATCAGCTCCTGCAGACTTCTTCTCTGGAGGTAAGGGTGATTGATGACAGAAACTAAGAATTGTCATGGGGTTTTCAGCAAATTATCAGTATGATCCTAACTTCACAAATAATTAGCATTTAGCTGGGCTTCTCTGCCCTTCTTAATTTTGATCAAATAATTTGTTCAACAAAGACACACTGAAGTGTAAGTAGAATCCTGTGAGAATCCTGTGTTAAACCTTCTCAAGTGAACAATGTAACTCATTTTACTGCAGAAGTTTTGAAAATCTTCAGTAAATAAGTGTAAACGTTCATAATCATAATGCCCTGATTGAAATGTTTATCTCCACATTTAGCTCCATGCTGGAGTTATCTTCAGCTTTCTACAGAAATTATTTAACTAAATTTCCATTATTCTACACTTATTTAGCAGGTTAATACTTACAGTCAAGAGGTACGTCCAATGCAGAAATAATTTGGCACAGAAAGAGGATCAAGAAAGGTTTACTTGCAGGTATGCTCTTCTTTTTCATCATGATTTTAGGTTGTACTGAGTAAATCACACTTGAAGAATGAAGTTCAACTTCACCAGACTAGGTAGCTTGCAATAGTTATGTAAATATAGACAAGAAACCTGTAAGCAAACAAACAAACAAGAATAACAATATGGAGATACAATGGAGAGTTGAATGATCACATACATCTTAATAATACTATGAAATACAAGCAGTCTACATACTATATCCAGGGGTAATAGTTACACCATGTTTTCTAACGAAATCCAGAAGTTCTTAGGACACCTAGATCATATCACCTTCCTAAGGAAGCTACTGAACAACTCCTATAACCTTATTGAATGGAAACAGAAATGTCTCTCCTAAGAAAGATAAAGCATCAGTCCAGCTAGTTAAAAAGGAGTATATACTAAAGATAATAGTCCTCTGAAGTAGATTTAATGGATTAAAGCTCTGAAGGCCCACCTAGTCTCTCTTTCATTCACCTTACACCAGCCTTGGAAAGAGTTATTTAGGCATCTACTCCAATGAAAACATGTCTGGCCACAAATCTGCTAAGTAAACTGTAGGATCTCCCTGTGGCTTTGAGTTAGGTATCTCAGCTTCTCCCCACTTTGGAACTCTTTCTAATACACAGCTGTACACTGAACACTTCATGAAGTGTACACAAGAAGACTTCATGAAGGTGCTGAGGTGCTACCTTATGTACTGTACCTAGGTTCCTATTCCTGGATATTTTGATTCTACTCAAAATAGATAACATCAAAATTTGTCATTTCTAGCCTGAAACCAAAATCTAATTAACTGTCAGCATATTAGCAAACACTCTTCTCCTTTCCTATGTGATGGAATGTCAGAAATTAAACTTAAGGGAAATCTGTTCTTGGAAATGTGCTAGATTTTCCTCCTTGACCAAGCATGAGAGATCACATTAGCCACACAGAACGATTCAGGTTCCCTCCTTATTTTCGCTGCATTTAGGACCAAGCTCTAACTTATAAGAATATTGAAGAAGTGAAAACTAACTGCTTGCAAGCCCCATCAGCACCACCAGTGAGCTAAAAAGAGCTACACAGCCTTAGAATCCAAATGGTGTTTACACAATGCTTTCTTAGAAAATGGACATCAGCTGAGAAACTACTTCCCAGATGTCAGATGGCTCAGAAAGTTAACAGTCATCAGCATTAATTGACCTTGAAGAGAAAACTTCCTCAGCTATGGCTACAGATGTGAAACACAATGTTATCCAGTCCACAAAGAGTTAAAGTTGCAAAGAAGCAGCTGCTTTACCAATGTTAAATAAAGAGTTATTTGTGCTTTCTGAAATTACTTACCCCATCTATGCTAAGAATTTTCCTCAATCTTCACATTAAACAAGAAATTATGCCTCTTAATTGCTGCTGTAAATGGTCTTTCTCTTTGTATAGTCTTCTGAGCAGAGACTGGAACTGGAAACCAGAACTGAGGTGTAGAGCTCAACTTCTCATCCTAATCTAGCACATCAAACTCCCTGATTCTTACTGCCACTATCTATAACACAAATGTTTGTTTCGAAATCAAAATATTCCAGCAGGTTAGAGTCCTAGAGATGTGCTGCTCCTTGGAGCTCTTGGGAACTGCTGGCTGGAGCACCACTGTAGAGGACAAATTGCTTATTCACATTAAAAACTATCTATAGTACTGCATACTGTAATGTAAAAACTATTTATTTGTCATGGCAGATTAGAAAAATTACAAAACTCATCTAAGAGAGAATACCAGAGTTGTAGCCTTTGCATAATTATTTATACAAATTGGAACTGCACTCACAGACAAGGTGGCAAAATACCGGTTTAAGGTATACAACAGGAAAGCATGACAAATACTCAGACTTTCCTAGAAAAGCAAACTGAACTTTATTACACTTTAAATGAGCACCCTAAATTGCTGAGGGTTTAGCTGGGGAAGGGGAGAAGTGTTTTCTTCATTCCATTTTTGGCACATGTAATTTATTACACTCCTGCTGCAGTGGGTAAGGGGAAGGAGAAGAGCTTCCATTGAGAGTGCCTGAGAGCACTCCAGAGTGTTTCCTGCAACAAAGCGCTCTCCAGAAAAGCTGATTTCGTTCCACCAACCACAGCTGTCTGCTCTTCTCCATTTAAACTAGGTTCTCACACACTGTTCTCCTGATCTTTATGTCATCTCCTCATTACAGCATCACTACAATTAACAAGGTATCCTCTCTGTACAATGTGTTTGACCCAGGTTTTACAGGATACCCTTTGAAGTATTCCACAAGTGAAGCTTGACTTTTGTTGTTTCTTCTCCAAGCAACATTTCAGTTCTCCTTACAAAACCCAGAAAACTTGATTATCCAATTTATTGTCTTGTTCTTTCACCATGTAAAATGAGTATTGCAGTGATTTGAGAGTATTTTAAAATTCAATTGCATTTCCTTTGAACAAGTACAAATGAATGCACAAGCAGTGGTGAATCAGGCATGTGCAATTAAAATGATTGGGAAAGTAATACCCTTGAGAAAATATCTCACATTGTATACCTGTGCTACTGCAATGTTCTAGTAGGATACCTATTGAATCTACTGCTTGGACATTTGGATATATTATGGGAATTCAGCAGGCAGCGGGAATTATAAAGCTGAGCCTGCACACTGACTTCACCATTCCTCAGAGAGGCAATGTGCCCAAATGGTTTGTGATAGAACATATTTCACTGAAAATGGTTTTAGGTTTGTCAGCACAACTGGGTGCTCTTGTTGAATATATTCAAGGCTAAATCTGGCATAATTTCTTATGAATACAACAGCTGCTAAGTAAAACTAAACATTGCTTTGACATAATATTATCTGCAACAAAATAAGGCCAGGCCTCTAAGCGATCAGTGTAAAGGCTTCAATTTCAAAACTTGAAATATTTATACAGCAGATTGCCTTTTCCTCCAGATGATTAATTTAAGATCTCTTGTAACTCAGACATTTTGTTCTACCCTTTTCATAGGAAAACATATATATTTTGACAGCTAGTTCAGGAGTCTACTCACCAATTTGTAAAAATAAGATTTTCTATACCTACATACTTCTTATGTACTTAACAAAACGTCACTTGTTATGTCTCCTGTGCTTCTTGCTGAGATGCTGACTGTGGCTAACAACTTTGACTCCCATTTGCCATAGAGTAGCAAACGGGAGTCAAAGTAAGTAAGAAATGCATGAGCAAAGTATAGAAATATTTTATCACAAAGGATAATATCAGATTTCAAAAGGGAGGGGTTTTATGTATGACAAAAGATAAGGATCAAGTGAGAGACATCCAACTTTTTTTCACTTAAAAAAAAAAAGTACTACTTTTTACAAATGAGCTACAGAAAGCCACAACTGGAAGAATGAAAGTACCAGTGAGCCTGAGGTAAACTATATGGAGAAGCACAAAATACAGTTTGGTTTCAGTAGTCTCTTCGCTGGTACCATTTGGACGTAAACAAAAACACCAGATACTTCGCAAACACAAAAAACATATATACAGAAGGGATCATTTGGGAGGCAGAATCCAAGATTGCTTTTCATACTATAAAAATGTGACAAGGATCTTCTCCTTAATTTTAACAGCTCAAGAGCAAATGAATCATAGAATTGTTCAGGTTGGAAAAGACGTTTAAGATCATCGAGTCCAACCCAGCACTGCCAAGTCCAACTATGTTTCTAAGTGCCACAATCATTTGTCTTTTAAATACTTCCAGGGATGACAACTCAACCACTTCCCTGATTAGCTTGTTCCACTGCTTGATAATTGTTTCAGTGAAGAAATTTTTCCTAATATTCAATCTAAACCTTCCCTGGAGCAACTTCAGGCTGTTTCCTCTTGTCCTATTGATTGCTGCTTGGGAGAAGACACTGGTACATCACAGGTTACATCCTTCCCCTCTGAAGGAAGTCTCTATGCTACTCCCTTCATCATGTCCAGTCACTGTCTAGAAGAATTAGGATTGGATCAGGTCAATATCTGCCACAGAGAGTGTTAACAATTGAATAGTATCTGGGATTGTAGATCCACACCCATGCGCACACACCCGCAACCCCTCAGTATATTTTACTGAGCTATACTAGTACTGAATAACACTAATTCCTAATTGGAATATTAATACAGACAGACACATTCTCAATGGACATTTCAAAGTTGAATCAGTTAAGGCTCCAGTTGACAGAGGGAACATGTTTTTTCTCTAGTTGTCTTCAACATAATCACATGGGATCTTTAATTGACTTTAAAGTGGTGCTGCAATATTTCTTTATTAGGATGTAATATGTGTAAGGGAGTGTATTTACTGACGTTGAACCTACTGCAAAGTTAAAGATAGTATTTTCTAAATGTACTATTGTTTCACAGAGATTTGATGTATCAACTGATTATGCATTTCTACTGTTACATTATTTTAAGACAAAAAGGCCTTTATGAATGTGAATGAAAATCAAGGTCAATGTAAGAAATGTGAAAAGGTTATAAAATTGCAAGACAGAAAAACTGGAATATTTCATATACATTAGGAAAAAAATATTCTCTTCTATATAGACATGATCGAATTAATGGTGAACAAGTTAGATGCTGAAAATTAGAGGAAAATTACTACTGAGCAAAACACTTCCTCTGCTTAATTTGTCTAATACCTGTATTTTTTATCACAGTGAAAGACAGATACAATCAGAATATAGGAAAAAAAAAAGAGTTTTCAAGGAAATTTGTTTCAAAGAAGACACAGAAACATATCCGCAGATCATGAAAAGCAAATTCAAATGAGGTAAATGTATTTAGTGACTTGTACATAGAAAAGAGTGTTGATGATTAATAAATAAAAAGAACAAAATGCTTTCTTTTGAGGACAACTGCAATACCTTTATCACTTAATGAAAGATCTTATGTGTTTTATACAACTATGCTAACTATGCAAGTATCAATAAAATGATTTAAAGTATTTTTGAACAACTGGTTTTGAATTTCACACTTCTTTATCTGGCATTTGCAGTAATAGGTAACATAAAAAACTCTGATTGGAAATGTTTATTTAATTTAAAATCTTTCAAACAGAAACAGATAACAACACAGTGTTACAGTACCTAAGTGTCATG